TTTTAGTTCTTCAATTGATCATCACTTAATTTTGTTTCTCCTTTGATTAATACTCAGTTAAGAATTTAAAGGCTAAATCCAAATAACGACTATTTACAATTCTCTACATGTTATTCCTTCAGATTCAGTTTGCATTGAACATTGTCACTCCTTATCTGCTAAATTTTGTTGACATTTTTAGTAAAAAAAAAAAAAAGGTGAATGCTCGAATAATTATACCTAAACTTCTGGAATGTGTATTGCTGATGTGTTGTCACCGTGGTTCCAAGCAATACCTATGAGTGGATATCCATGAGACCATGACCTTGCATTCATGTGGCATCCTGACTAGTTAAGTACTACTTACAGTAGCTGTGGGAGTTTTCCCAGAATGTAGGATTCATGTATACCTATAGCTTGTTAATACAATAACAGAAGAGGAGTTTTAGTGGGACATTAAGTAAAATGATTCTCAAAGAAATCCAATAAAGCAAAGCACCATACCAATATATTATCCCTTTTCAAGGGACAGTAGGGGGCAGAAAGATGCACGGATGCTGTGCATTCCTGAGGATAATTTAAGTGAGCAACGCAGCGTCAAATAACCTTTTACCTCCAAAGACACGCTACAAAGCAAAAATGAAACCTTATTAGTGCTCCCCCATTGTAAAACAAAAATAAAGCAAGTCTCCATTCCAACCTATAAAAAGACAAGTTTCCATCACGATTAAAAGAAAGTAACACGGGGCCACGTGCCAGCAGAGAAAATGTCATGTATTGAACGGTTGTGAATGGTAGGGCGTAGATAGCCGATGATGAATATCATACTTGAGAAGAAGTTTCTCTAAGAGCTTGTTGTAAAAATGTGTGCCATTATCGGTTATGAAAGCTCTTGACATGCTAAATCGGGAAAATATATTCTTCTTGACAAATTTGATCACGGTCTTTGAGTCATTCCTCGGAGTTGCAATTGCTTCTACCCACTTTGACACATAATCTGCTGCTACAAGGATATACTCATTCCCAAAGAATGAGGAAATGGACCCATGAAGTCCATCCCCACACATCAAACAAATCCACTTCAAGTATACCCTTTTGAGGCATCTCATGTCTTCTTCTAATGTTGCCGGTCCTTTGACAATTGTCACACTTACGCACAAATTCTCTAGCGGTAGCAAACAAAGTGGGCCAAAATAGCCCAAATTGTGTATAAACTTGTTCAATTGAAGCTAGTAGGATGTTAACATTGTCAATTATTTAGAAAATGGTCCTACCATTTTAGAATCCATGTGTAATTGCATTTATGATCAACAACTTTGTAGTTAGACCGCGCATGTTTGACAATGATGTAAGAACAATTTTGTCTGTTAAAAAAACAATAGTATAATATTTGTAAAGTAATGTACAATTCTACCATTATAAAAAAAAATACAAACAATATTAATACCATAATGACCCAAATCATTCCAATAATGCAAATGCATAATTGAAATATTAAGTTTTGTTTTAAATATAATCAAAAGAATATTAATTAAACGTAAAAAAAAAAAAAAAAAAAAAAAAAAAAAAAAAAAAAAACCTAACATAATTTTTTTTTTTTAAATCAAGAAAATTAAATGATTTTTAAAGTTCCAGATTTATAATCTTTTGATGCTCAACTTTGAATGCTATATATTTAGTCGGGCTAATTATTTGACCAAAGTTTATGTTAAATTTTATATTATATTTTTAATACATTTTAACATATCTATAATATATGTTTAACAATTATGACAACTTTAACTGTGATGAGGTTCGAAACTAAGACATTTCTTATATAAATTAATGAGTATGTTAAGAATAATAAATAGTTAACGGAATATTCCGTTATTAAAATTTATACTAACGGAATTTAGGGTTATTTAAGGGACGAAAATAATATAATAGATGGTAAATAAGGAAAATCATTAAAAATACTAAAATTAAAATAATATGAATCATTCATTTTAAGAAACAGCTACTACCAACATTTGTTTGTTCCACTTAAGAGCCTAACATTATTAGCTCTTATTAGATTTGTATAAATTATATGTTGTTAATAATTATGCCAACAACATAATTCATCATCATTATTAGTGTGTCTCTATATATATAATAAATGTATAAAATCGTCTACATAAATACACAAAATCACAAGGCAGACTTTATTTAGAGGGTATTTACTATGTACATTTGACTGGGGATTTTGCCGTAAATAAAAAAAAAATGCTCTGAATATATCATGCTTCTTGTAATAGCTTACAAACCACATAGGTGAGATAAATCGCACTAGAAAAATTTTGTGCAACGGACCTGATCAAGAAAATGTTGATAATAATAATTGAATAATTAATGATATTTTAGTACAAAAATTATATTTCACTCACTTATCATCCCTTTCGGGTCTCAGTTGTAGTAGCTTATTATTGTCTCGTTTTTCATGCCAACCTACATGCTAACCTCATGGTTCATGATGGATCTATCTTCCTGCCCCATACTCACATAAATAATACAACAAATGTTCACAATCTCGATCATGATCTTGTCTCCGAGTTCTTGTCGTTAATTGCCAGAATAATTATTTTTTAATTAGAACATATATATTTGTTGTTGGTACGTGCAGAAATCAGTGAGAGTTTGCCCAATGTTCATTATTACATATTAAAATATCCATTTCAGGTTTTCACGTTTCAGCAACATACACACATTGGGAGTTAGGACACTATATATTTGTGGCAACACCAAGTGATTGGGAGGAGTATGTCTAGTTGAATTTTTAAAAATATTTTTTTATTGATATATAAGAGCAATTTTTCATTAGTTTTATTTATTTATTTATTTATTTTTATCATGTTTATGTGGAAGAAAGAGAAGATACAAGATAAAAATTGAATTCTCCCTAAAAGATCAAGCTAAGTTTTATATGGGCCTGCAAAGAGAAAAGGAAAAAAGTATTCTTTTGTCTCGCGTGTTGAGCACAATATATGTGCCCAGAAGTTGCGTAAAAGCTTTAAATTTGTTTAAAATTGCTTCCTTGTTATAGTTGTTTTCCTTTTATTTTTTTCATTTTGTTTTTGTTCTTTCTCTCCTCTTGCTAATCACACTGACAAAAACCTTTTAAAAATCCCAACAAATGGGGTTACTCTAAGAAGGTAGAAGAGGCAAACAATTGCAACAATCTAAGTTGAGTATTAACACCAACCGATATCAACAAACAATAATGGTCGGATGGATCACTATTGCAGGTCAGAGGGTCATTAAAATTATGAATGCGGGTGACAGGATAATTGGTTTCAGACCCGACACAGAGAGTCGACTCAAAATATATGATATTATTACAGAACACCGCCTAATTAAATGAGTAAAGTTATGAAGGGTGTGAATACTTGAGAGGAGAGTGCATAGTTATTGGGGCGTCGTAGTTATTACAAGCTCCGGCCGATACACACACTAAGCATAGGAGTTATTATTGTGGTTAGTATACATTCTTCCAAAAGGTTGAACCCCAACCCTAAGGGCTTGTGATTAGTATACATATTTGACCTTATGACAGACAGAGGCACACTCAATCTTGTACTCAAACACAGCAATACAACTGCATACTCGATATATTGGGAGTGATTGAAACACAAAGGAGAAGTAAAAGAAAATCGTAATGCTAGCAAATAGTTGAATCACATAAATTATATATACTAATATGTTTTCACTATGACACTGTTTGGTAAAATATTGGCCATTTTGGTTTATTTGACTCCTATTAATTATTTAATTTGGTTAAAAAATGTCAATTCTGAAATGCTAAAATTCAAAAAGCTGCTCAAAGCAGCTTTTCCAATTAACTTTTTGAGAAAAAAAATTATACCAAACAGCTATCAGCTAACAACTAATTTACCAAACATCTTCCTACAATCAACTAATGTTATTAACTAGTTATACCATCTAATTAACCAAATCAGCTATTAGCTAACAACCATTTACCAAACAGGACCTATCTTTTATATATTGATTTCTTATATATGGTAACTTATTAAATCGAGTTAGAAACTTAGGCCATCTCCAAGGAGACGGCAAATCGCCAAATCCCCAAAAAGTTTGGCGTAAAGCAGCAAAACAGGGCTCCAATGGGACGCCAAAACACCAAATAATTTGGTGTTGATGAACAATATGGCGCATCACTGTTCATCAACGCCATTTGCTGACTACTCTTTTCTTCCTATTTTGTCCCTGCTTTGTCCTTTATCTTCTTTTATAATTCCTTTTGTATCCTTTTTTATTTTTATATAGGAAAAATCAACGATTTGGTCCCTCAATTGTTAGCGAAATATCAATGTAGTCCCTTAATCGCGAAATCATCGATTTAGTCCCTGGAAATAACTGTTTTTAGTTGATTTGGCCCCTCCGACCGTTTCCCGTTGAAAATCCGGCGAGAGCTCCGATTTGCCATGGGCAATTTGGTCTTTTCACCCCATATTATTCCTCCACCGACCCTGTCACAAACACAAACACTTGGAAGACACTTTTCCAGCGAAGAATTTACACACCAACGCATGCTTCAAGCTCAGCAAGACCCATTTGAGTTCTTTTCTGACATTACAGAAACCGTCTGAACGTGTTTCTTTACTGCCATTGAAATGCTCCGGTTCACACTCAACTGAAAAGACTGATGATGGGATCATGTTCAGGAATAGCCTGAGAAATCTCTCGATGGAATCGATAAAATCAAACATTTCTGAGCTGACCCCGTTCTTGAATAGCCTGAGAAATCACTCTGTGCAATTGATAAAATCAAACTTTTCTCAGCTGACCTTGTTCCTGGAAAGCCTGAAAAATCTCTCTGCCGAATTGATAAAATCAAGCTTTTCTCAGCTGACCCCCTTGGACTTGTGCAAGTGGTCTGTGGTGATTGCAATTGCAATTGCAGTGCCTAAGTGGATTGTCAATGTAGTGTTCAATCCATTCTTCTGGATGTATATTTTAGCTGGAGTTGGCTGTTCTGGCCATGGATGGCGGCGATTGGGATTGCAGCATACGGGTTTTATTGCCTTAACAAACATTTGCGCGGTGATGCCAATGTGTTTGAGCAACTTGCCATTGTTACTTCGGCATTTACTTGGCTGACATTAGTCCCACCTGCTCACTTCAATGGATTTCTCGAAGGATGGCCATTCGTGTTCTTTTTCGTATACCATTACTTCTTTTTCTTCAATGTGAGTGTTCGGAAACGTCTATATGGTGATTTCTTCCCAAGAGAGCACGATCCCAAGTGGGATATTAACCTTCCTAATTTTCAGAAGCTGTTATTCTGTGCTGGGGTTGCAGTTGGGCATTGGATTGCAGCATTTGAAGGACCGGAATTGCATCTCATTCCCGGTGGCTGGAGCAATACCGGTGTCTGGGCTTTGATAATCATGACACTATTCATGCATCGGATGGGTCTTGCTGAGCTTGAAGCATGCGTTGGTGTGTAAATTCTTCGCTGGAAAAGTGTCTTCCAAGTGTTTGTGACAATGTCTGAAAGAAACTGCATTAAAGGGTCGGTGGAGGAAGAATATGGGGTGAAAAGACCAAATTGCCCATGGCAAATCGGAGCTCTCGCCGAATTTTCAACGGGAAACGGTCGGAGGGGCCAAATCAACTAAAAACAGTTATTTCCAGGGACTAAATCGATGATTTCGCGATTAAGGGACTACATTGATATTTCGCTAATAATTGAGGGACCAAATCGTTGATTTTCCCTTTTTATATATTTACATATTTTGTTAAATATTTAAAATAAATTGTATATTATTTTAAAAAAGTTATATCATTAGAAAGATCTTATATTAAAACAAGACTAATATTGAATATAATTTAATTAAAAATAAAATTACATAAAACATAATTAAAGTTTAATTTATTAAATTACATTAAACTACATCTATATGTTATATTAATTAAAATAATAAAAGTATAAATATAAACTTTTAATTTATGAAAATATAAATTATTTTAGTGTAGGATTAAAATTTGTTGTAAATGGGTTGGAGATGAAAAAAATTTGGTGTAAAAATATATTAGAAATATTCTTTTTAATATAAAATTTGATGCAGAATTTAGTGTTTTGGGTTGGAGATGGTCTTATAAGTTATGATGGGCAGTGTTGTATATGTGAATATGTGATGCACAATCTGGCCAGCAATCAAATGTAAAGGTCAAAAGTGGTGGGTGAAGTGTGTGGGCGGAGCAGATGGATTGAGTTAGGTTGGTTTAACGGTGGGAATGAAAACACCCAAATGGGGTAAGGAATTGAAACATAGAATTTAATAGGAGCACTGCAGGCTTGCTGGAAATAATGACTGAATAGTTAGGAATAAAAAGCATGGTCCCATTGCTACACAATCCATATATATACTTCCGTCCATAAAATAGTTAACTTATCAATCAATTTTACTTTATTTAACTATTATTAACAATATATTTTTTAACTGTTATAACCTACTATGTTAATGACGATTTATTTTTTCAATTTGTATATCGTTCAGTATTCCACGCACCACGTATTATATGTAGTTGAGGGTTGATGATAGGAACATGATTAGTTAAACACTTAAACCTAGGAATAATAATAATGGACACAAAAGAAGAGAGGTTGTGGATGTGCATGGATGATGAACCTAACTCTCAACCATAATCCATCCAACCCCCATCCCCCATGCACCCCCAATCAATTGCCACCACCCACCTTTCCTAATATTTCTTTAATTTTCACAATTTTATTAATTAATTATTCTTCACACATCCAATCCTCACCCTCCATCTGCCCATGCCCTAGAAAGATCAGATAATCCCCATCCTCCATCTGCCCCCATGCACTAGAAAGATCATATCAGTCACCTATATACACACTTTACAACACAGCACACTTCATTATCTCAAAACAAAGACTTCTATTTTGGGTTAATAATTTCATCATTTTATGTCAACACCAAAAAAAAAAACAAAAAGTTCTTCCTTAAAAAAAAAAAAAATCATATTTTTGGTCAAGCTAGATAAACAGGACAATGGTTGGTGGGCTAATTAAACAACCCACCTTTGATTTCTATCAGTCAAAGACTCATGCTCACCAAAGCTTCCAACCCTATAATTCGTCAAATTGCTACAAATTAGGTTAAATTTCCCCTCAACTAATAAATGTCGGACTTTGATTTACACAAAATCTGCAAACACTACTTAAAGGCGTGCACTAAGCATTGTAATTATAGTTGACAAAGGATCATAAGGAGGTAAACCAGCCCTAGATTGCTAATAGCTGATCGACTCAAACCAATAATGCCAATAGATAGTTTTCACGAGAAGTCGAATTTAGAACTTTGTGATTACAAAATCAAATGTCTGACGAACTTGACTTGTAGTTACCAAGTTAATTGTGACCGTAATCTGGGTCAAATTTGGATTAGTAAGTTAGACCCTTCAAATGTAATAGTCGAATCTATATTAGTCTAGGAATAGAACATTAATTAATACAAATTTTGAAAATAATTTGTGAAATATTTCACACTCCATAGCCATTGAAGTGTCATGATATTCAAAAAACTAAAATATTTGAAATTGGAAAGAAATTGAAATAATAAAATGATTAAAGTTGAAATTTATATGCTACTTTCCAGATTGGGCAAAAGCATTCATTTATGTGAAAAGGGTTATTTGGTACGTATATATATCTCTAATAAGGGTGGGGACCTCAGCACAATATTTTCATTTTTGGAGTTGTGATATAATATAATAATACCTTTTAGGCTGTCTCCCTAAAGTTTAGGATATATATATGATATATTGATGGACCCTTAACAAATTTTAGTTTAGGATATATATATGATATATTGATGGACCCTTAACAAATTTTACCTGCTTACAAGTCATAAAATTTTGAATTAAATTTTATGAATTTAAAAATTTGAATAATTAAAAGTTATCAAATTAATAGTTAAAGGCTAAAAGTTTGTAAAAGTGGTATTAATTTAACTTGTATTTTTGTTGTGGTTGTTGGTATAGGAAAATTTTAAGGTGTTAATTGATATTGTTATCTTTTATATATCGGGTATAATTATGTATTATATACCGAGTGCTTTTTATATTATATGATATACTATCAATATTTGTCTTTACTAGGAGTAAGCATTGATTTTTTTTGAAAATGAGTAAGCATTGATTAGATTCATGTGTTTTCAGCATTTTATTTTGGATGTATGAGAAGTTTGGGTGACATTTTTTAAAATTTGATATTAACTCAATAATAATTAAGATATGTTTGATTTGTGCGAAATCATTTTGGGTTAGTTTGAGTTTGCCCAATTTTTTCCTTTTATATTTAATTTTTTATTAATTTTATTATTTGCGTATTATTTTTATACAATCAAACTAAAAATAAGACAAAAACACTAACATATAGTTTTGAAGATTAATATAATATATTATTATGAAATATATTTAATAGTTCATATATAATTTACCATCATATTTATAACAAAATTTTGAATTTCATGTCAAATTTGGATAAACTTTTAACCCTAATATTCAAACCAAATTATTAAGATATTCAAATCAAGAACTATTCAAGTTCACCCAAACTTTGAATTTCAAGTTTTAGTTTAAATAATCTGAATAAACCCACCCCTAATTTTGACAATAAACAATACAATAAAGTATACACTGCATAATTATATTTGCTACAAAAGGTGTCCGGATAAATTTACAGTTTAAAAATTTCTTTTATTATATATTGTTTAATATGTTATAATTTGTGTGATATCAAGTGGATACAAATTTTTTATTGTTAAAATTTTAATGTTTTTTTAGAGTTATTTAGATTTGATTACATAACAGCTGATGAAATATTCCTGAAATTTTGTATTGATTCCTCATAAAATGTTCACACAAAGATTTCACAAAGAACCACAAAAAGCATAAAGCATTTCTTTATTGTGCAAACTTAATGCATGATATCATATGCACTGTACATTTGGATTGCAAAAAATTCTTTAGAAAGCAGAACATTGGGACCATAAATCATTCTTTATTATGCAAAGTTGCAAACCTTAAAAAAAAAAAATCATTACTCTTTTTTGTGTAAACCACGCTGTGATCCGAATGCACAGAAGCTGGCTTAAAGAGAATTATCACTTGTGAAAATCAAACTTGAGTTATCCTGAAATACTCCCCAACAAAGAGAACTCATTTGCCACTTAAACTACCCTGTTGAGTTATTATTACACCCTTTTTAATATTACTACTTTAGTAGGATGTATAAAATTTCTTTTTACACGTTAATAAAAATTCACTAATTCATCCACTCAGTAAAATAAACAGGAATTTTATAGGTTTATTTTTTTTTATTATTATTTAATAGTTGAAATTTTTATTACCTTAAAACAATTTAATTTTTGACGATCATCAAAATGGTGGTAGTCAATTCATATATCAGTACAATCAAGTATACACTGCATAGTTATCGCATTTTATCACTGATATTTATATTTCCTAAAAATGTAATAAATGAATTGCAAATGATTTCATAATTTATAAATTAGTGGAGATATGGGTACTATATATATATAAAAAAAAAATTTAATGTAAATATTTATTTTTTTAAAAGAAGAAAAAAAATTGACAGGGCAGATACCACGTGGTTACTTAACTCTCATTTAAAGCCGCACCTTTAATATTAAAGACTCTCTTCATTTCTCCAACCAAACCAGAACTAACTTCTTCAACGCTACGCCCATTCGCAAAAAAAAATTTCAGTCTAGCCCGTGAGGCAACTGGCACAAAGATTTGAGCTTTCCCACCTTCACATTCTCTTCTATTATTCCCTTTCGATTCTTGGATCCGAATGCTTCACAGCTGACGGGCTCTTGTGTACACTCAGCGAGGAAAGATTGGAGCTTTTTTGGCCTCTTCGGTGACTGACTCATTGGTACAATTCCCCCACACATGCCAATTTCGGGCTTTTTCTAACGGTTACTGTGATTTCGTTGCTTTTCTCAATTTGGGTATTTTTGGTTTGCTTGTTTAAGTTGAATTTGATGAGGAACTTTGTTGTGTGTGATTGTTGAGTTGCTTGGATTTTCTGGTGCCGTGTTCATCTGAACCAAGCAAGTGTACTGGTTGAGAGTTCCTGATTGGCTTGCTTTGTGTATATTGCGTGTGATCGAGTCGTTGACAAATTTGGACTTCACTTTAGTTACATCTGACTCTCTTGCTGTGAACTATAGAATTGTAGTGTGGTGATTAGGCGGAGTAATAATTGTGCTTCTTTTTCCAGTACTTAGCATTTTGGTTGATCATCCAATTTATGAAACTCGTTTGTTTCCTTTATTGTTAGCTTTTGGAATCTTGCAATAATCTAGTGATGTGTATTCATGGTCTGTTTTATTCGACTGCTTTGTAGATTTTTGAGACAGGAAAAGATCTTGTTCTAGATTGAGAAACCACATAAAGTTTTGGTGAACTTGTCTGCAGCTAGCTCATTTGGCAATGAATACATGATTTTTTATTTTTTATTTTTATTTTTTTTTGGTTTCAGGCAGTGCAATATGTCAGAAGCTCAGAGGAGGCCAACAATGATTGGTGTGAGGAACAATAATGGGTACGCCAATGGAGCATTTCCATTGAGGTCTCCAAACATAAAATCTGAAGTAGATAAATTCTGTCATTCACTTGGGGGGAAGCGGCCAATCCATAGTATATTAATTGCAAACAATGGGATGGCAGCTGTGAAGTTTATTCGTAGTGTTAGGACATGGGCTTATGAAACATTTGGTTCAGAGAAGGCAATATTGTTAGTTGGAATGGCTACACCAGAAGATATGAGAATAAATGCAGAGCATATTCGAATCGCTGATCAATTTGTAGAGGTTCCTGGGGGGACAAACAACAACAACTATGCTAATGTGCAGCTCATTGTTGAGGTTTGTGAATACTTCTTTCTTCTTAATTTACTATTGATTTTTTTAGTTAGTTCATTCTGTAGCTGGTACTTCGATCAGGGCTATTTAGGCCTAGTAACTCAAAAAATAAAATGCTTATTGATTTTTTCCTCTACATGTGTGTGTGTGGGCTCTGTTGGGATCAATGCCCTTGTCTCCAGTAGTTAATGGAGGCATTATAAGTTGTAAGGATCTAGCTGTATGGATTTATGGGTTGTCAGTAGAGATAAATGGTTTAGCCAGTCTTGCACTATAGTTCGTGTAACTGATAACTCCTTAGAAGTCTGAAAATGATTTTTTAAAATGGAAATCTATGTTTTTATTCTATTTTTCTCTGGTTGTGCAGATGGCAGAGATAACACATGTCGATGCTGTTTGGCCTGGATGGGGCCATGCATCAGAAAACCCAGAATTACCGGATGCATTGAATGCTAAGGGAATTATATTCCTCGGGCCACCTGCCACATCAATGGCAGCACTAGGTGACAAAATTGGTTCGTCATTGATTGCTCAAGCAGCTGATGTACCCACCCTTCCATGGAGTGGCTCCCATGTAAAGTCTCTTTGCTAACAATTTATGAACTTTTGTGTGCACCAAAGTGATTTTGGATCTTATGTACTTTATTCAATCTTGTAGGTCAAAATTCCACCAGAAAGTTGTTTGGTCTCTATCCCTGAGGAAATATATAATAAGGCATGTGTTTATACTACTGAAGAAGCAATTGCTAGTTGTCAAGTTGTTGGTTATCCTGCAATGATCAAGGCATCTTGGGGTGGTGGTGGTAAAGGCATCAGAAAGGTTTGTTTCTTAGTAAAGATTGTCTTTGCACTTGGCTCATGTGCTTGAGATTTGTCTCTTGCCAGTAGATCATTTCATGTGACTCATTGATTGTAGATGTGTTCCTTAGATGTGCAACTCTTTTGTTAGATAAGTGCATTGTCTATTTAAGAGCTTGTGTATGCTGTATTCCTACTGAACTACAAAATTCCTGTTGTTACTTGCACATTATAGGTTCATAATGATGATGAAGTTAGAGCTTTGTTCAAGCAAGTTCAGGGTGAGGTTCCTGGCTCTCCGATATTCATAATGAAGGTTGCTTCCCAGGTTAGGTTATCTCCTTTCTTCTTCTTCTTCGTTTTTTTTTTTTTTTTTTTTCTTGTTTCGTTGGAATGCTGAGGTTGAATCAAAAGCATGTACTAAGGTACAGATTTTTCATATTAACAGAGTCGACATCTAGAGGTGCAGTTGCTTTGTGATCAGTATGGTAATGTTGCTGCTTTGCATAGTCGTGATTGTAGTGTCCAAAGGCGACACCAAAAGGTTGGCTTGCCTCTTGCTTGAAGTTATTCTAGTTTTCCTATAGGATTAGGGATCTACCATATTTCACTTCTCTCTAAAAGTTTGATATAATCATGTGTTGGTTTTATATGATAACCTGATAAGTAGAAACCTATGAAACATTATCGTTGACACACTGATGTTTTCTTGTAAATTAGATTATTGAGGAGGGGCCAATAACTGTGGCTCCTATAGAGACAGTGAAACAACTTGAGCAGGCTGCTAGAAGATTAGCAAAATGTGTTAGTTATGTTGGAGCTGCCACTGTTGAATATCTCTATAGCATGGAAACTGGGGAGTATTATTTCTTGGAACTCAACCCGCGGTTACAGGTGCGTGAATACCAGTCCCTGACTGAGTTAACCTTTGAATAGTTACATAAGATTTTTGTAAAAGTCTTTTTTTTTTTTTTTTTTTTTTTTTTTTTTTTTTTCTCTGGGGGTGGTGATTTAGGTGGAGCACCCTGTAACAGAATGGATAGCAGAAATTAACCTTCCAGCAGCCCAAGTTGCTGTTGGAATGGGCATTCCTCTGTGGCAGATTCCAGGTTTCATGCAAGAACATGCCACTATTTGAAATTTCTCATTAATGTGATGGTTCCTCTTTATTTTTTATTTTTCCTTATTTTGTGTTTGGAATCATTTTCTGTTACCTTAGAAATCAGACGGTTCTATGGAATGGAGCATGGCGGTGGATATGATGCTTGGAGGAGAACATCACTTGTTGCTACTCCATTTGATTTTGACAAGGCAGAGTCTACAAGGCCGAAAGGTCATTGTGTAGCTGTCCGTGTAACAAGCGAGGATCCTGATGATGGTTTTAAGCCTACTAGTGGCAAAGTGCAGGTTGAGCTGCTTTTGGTTTCTATCACTTTGGTTGATTTAATGTTTATCGCAAACATGACCATGATTTGAATTATTTTATACAGGAGCTAAGTTTTAAAAGCAAACCAAATGTATGGGCATATTTTTCTGTCAAGGTAAATGATTACAAATTAACATTTATATGAAATATTCATGTCTCATGTTTGATGTTGATTAAACAATTGTATTGACTGCAGTCTGGTGGGGGCATTCATGAATTTTCAGATTCTCAGTTTGGTAAGTTGAAGTAATCCTTTTGAAATCTATATTCTCAGCATACTTTATTTGAAAACTTGTAGCTGCAAATTGTTTTTATCTTATCTAGATGACTTCATGACTTGAATTAAACTGTTGGAATAAATGCATTGTTCATGCTTTCTTACTGTTTGTGGCCCTGAATGAGTTGGATACTTTATATGTGGTTATAATTTTGACCTTACGGGTTTCTAAATGTTACATCAGGGCATGTTTTTGCTTTTGGTGAATCCAGAGCCCTGGCCATTGCCAACATGGTACTTGGCCTCAAGGAAATTCAGATACGAGGAGAGATTCACACAAATGTAGATTACACAATTGATCTACTGCATGTAAGTGTATTGGTGGTAAAAAATTATTGCATGCTCCACTTAAATACAATTTTTGTTTGAAGTTATGTAGTTTAACGTGCCTTTGGTTTGGTGCATTGTAATTATTTATTTATTTATTTTTTAATTTAAATATTCATAACATAAATAGTAGGTTGGTGAAAGTATTACCATCAAGGCTGGTCAAATGTTTTAACATTTATAACTAATATATTTCTGCAGGCTTCAGATTATAAAGAGAACAAAATACACACAGGTTGGTTGGACAGTAGAATTGCAATGAGGGTTAGAGCTGAGAGACCTCCTTGGTACCTTTCTGTGGTTGGAGGAGCTCTATATGTGAGTTCACAGCTTTTAGAAACTTGAGTTTTGAAATATTTTAATTATAAAAAAAAAAAAATGTTTAGCTCCAACTTTTAATTCCCAAAACCTTCATTTTCCCCTCATTTGTCAAGTGCAGAAAGCTTCTGCAAGTAGTGCTGCAATGGTTTCAGAATATGTTGGTTATCTAGAAAAAGGACAAATTCCTCCCAAGGTACTATTGTCAGAGCACTCTAATTTTAGATTCTAATGGTTCTTTCTTTTTCTCTTTTTAAATTAATGATCAATTATCTCTGTGCAGCATATTTCACTTGTGAACTCTCAAGTTTCACTAAACATTGAAGGGATAAAGTATACAGTAAGTAGCATCTTTCTTTATAGCTTAAATTCATATCTTTCCTCCTGGCTGGTGATGGTTGGTTTGTCTTAAAATTTTGTTCTCTCTATGTGAAAGAAGTCTGGAAAAAAAATTGATTTTCTGGTTTCTCTTGGTAATGTTTACTTCTGTTTCTTAGGTTAACATGGTGAGGGGAGGACCTGGAAGCTATAGGTTGAGGTTGAATGAATCAGAGATTGAAGCAGAAATACACACTCTACGTGATGGAGGCTTATTGATGCAGGCAAGCAATCATTTGTCTACAACTTGCTTTCAAACTCTCTTTATTTGGCATGTAAAACCACATTATGTACCATATGAAAATTATAGTTGCTTACGTTGGGTTTCACAGTTGGATGGAAACAGTCACATTATTTACGCTGAGGAGGAAGCGGCTGGGACTCGTCTTCTCATTGATGGCAGGACTTGCTTGCTTCAGGTGTCCAGGGTTTTTACTTTCCGTATACATACATATGTATCATTCAAGGGCGTTTACTTTCCATTTTTTTTTTTTTTTTTCGAGTACTATTGACTCTGTTACAATGTAGTATCTGTTCATAACTACTTTCTCTACCTACTGAAGCACAAAGAGTCAATATCGCCTCCACTGAGGCTCGAACCCACAACCTCTTATATGGAGGAGCAACTTGGTGCCACTGGACCACAAGGTCCTTGGCAGGGCGTTTACTTTCCTTATACATACATATGTGTGTTGTGTGTGTGATATTTTATGTTATGTTTGCTGAACTCTGATAACTAGTCTTTCTTGTGCCCAGAATGATCATGATCCATCCAAGCTCATAGCAGAGACACCATGCAAACTTCTGAGGTATTTGGTTGCAGATGGTAGTCATGTGGATGCCGATACACCTTATGCAGAGGTTGAGGTCATGAAGATGTGCATGCCTCTTCTTTCCCCCGCTTCAGGGGTGATTCATTTCAAGATGTCAGAAGGTCAAGCAATGCAGGTAATACTACTCGCTTTGTGGTTGGGCAATATTTCTTGCCTTCTATACTCGGGTCAACTTTTCCTTCATCTGATGTAGTTGGGCTTGGTCCTAAGCTTCACGGTGATGAGCTCTCGAGCTATCATACTGTTCTTCCCTTTGTGGCAAGTCTGCAACTAATACAATTTTCATTTATAGGCTGCCGAGCTTATAGCAGCACTTGATCTAGATGATCCTTCGGCTGTAAGAAAAGCAGAACCATTCCATGGGAGCTTCCCCATCCTCGGACCTCCAACTGCAATATCTGATAAAGTTCATCAGAGGTGTGCTGCCAGTATGAATGCAGCTCGGATGATTCTAGCTGGATACGAGCATGCTGTTGATGAAGTAAGTATATGGCGGGTGTTGTCTTCTTGCAAAGGTTTTGTTAAATGCTTGATTAGGATTGATAAAAGCCCTATCTTCGTTAAAAAAATAATAAATATTTCATCTGGAAAAAAGAATATAAAAACGATTTTGGTGTCCAGGTGGTACAGAGCTTGCTAAGTTGTTTGGACAGTCCTGAACTACCCTTCCTTCAGTGGCAAGAGTGCTTGGCTGTTCTGGCAACACGACTTCCCAAAGACCTTAGATCTGAGGTAAATGCCCATGCTGATGTTTTTAGGTTGTTTTCTGAAATTGTGTTTCAGTTTTATGGTTGAAATTTGATTTGGCCTTTCCTCAACAGTTGGAAGCAAAATACAAGGAATATGAAGGGATCTCGAACTTTCAAAACATTGATTTCCCAGCGAAAAATTTGCGGGGTGTTCTTGAGGTTAATTTAGTCTGGGATTTCTCATTGCCTTGTCCTTTTCTTTTTAGTGTTTGTTTCTTATTTCTAAATTCCTTCTTGCTCCAGGCACACCTGAGTTCCTGCCCCGAAAAAGAAAAAGGAGCTCAAGAAAGACTAGTTGAACCATTAATGAGTCTTGTGAAGTCTTATGAAGGGGGAAGAGAGAGTCATGCCCGTGTTATTGTGCAGTCCCTTTTCCAAGAATACCTTTCTGTCGAAGAATTGTTTAGTGACAACATCCAGGTTAGTGATCTTATGCACAAGAGATTTGTGAAAATATTATCCAAAAACTAAAATTGCTGCTTAGCAAGCTTGGATCCCACTTATATCTTCTAGCCCAACTTCATTGCTGCTTAACCAGCTTGGTTGGCGTGAGTGGCCGTGCACTCTCATCCCTTAACAGAGGTCGGGAGTTCGAACCCCCTCTCGTATGGAAAAACCAATTTGGCCGGCACTTTGCCCCTTAATTGGGCCGGGCCGGTGCGAATGGGGATTAGTCTGAGTATGGTACGGGCTTAAAGGTGCCTCCTACAGTTAGGGCCTGCTCAGGACACCTCATGGCTTGACCCAAAAAAAAAAAAAAAAAACAATCGCATCTCATGATTTTTGAGCTAGATTTGATAAGTTATGCTCTTTTTTTTTTTTTTTTTTTTTTTTTTTTTTTACACCCTTCAGGCTGATGTTATTGAACGCCTGCGACTTGAATATAAAAAAGACCCCGTGAAGGTTGTAGATATTGTACTTTCCCATCAGGTATAAGCGAGTTGTGTGCGATTCATTACTTATTCTTCTTAGCGGTGTTTAGATGAAGTATGTTGCCATAACATTAATTTTGCAGGGTGTCAAGCGTAAAAATAAACTGATATTAAGTCTCATGGAGCAACTGGTGTATCCTAGTCCTGCAGCTTACCGGGATAAATTAATTCGTTTCTCTTCGCTCAATCATACAAACTATTCTGAGGTTAGAAGCTTTTTCAATATTATTGACACTCACAAACTGGACATCAGTAAGATTAATTCTGGTTAACTCTCGCTGTGCTTTACAGTTGGCTCTCAAGGCAAGTCAGCTTCTTGAACAAACAAAACTGAGTGAATTGCGTTCCAGCATTGCAAGAAGTCTTTCCGAGTTAGAAATGTTCACTGAAGAAGGTGAACATATGGACACTCCTAAGAGGAAAAGTGCCATAAATGAAAGAATGGAAGCTCTAGTGAGTGCTCCTTTGGCAGTCGAAGATGCACTTGTAGGTCTCTTTGATCACAGCGATCACACCCTTCAGAGAAGGGTTGTGGAGACTTATGTTCGCAGACTTTACCAGGTATTTCTATCTGAAGTTCTTTCAACAACCGACTAAGATTATTCTTAGTTCATTATTTTAACGTTTCTACTTTGTGTTATCAGCCCTACCTCGTCAAGGGGAGTGTTAGGATGCAGTGGGACAGATCGGGTGGACTGATAGCTTCTTGGGAGTTCTTGGAAGAGCATGTGGAGAGGAAAAATGGATCTGAAGGTAGAACGGTGAATAAACCTTTGGTAGAGAAGCATAGTGAGAAAAAATGGGGAGCCATGGTCATCATCAAATCGCTCCAAATCTTGCCAAAAGTGCTAACAGCTGCACTGAAGGAGACAATGAGCAACATCCAGACTACGATTTCCGATGGATCCGTGGGGACAGAGGGTCATGGTAACATGATACACATTGCATTGGCAGGCATCAACAATCAAATGAGTACACTTCAGGACAGGTATTTGCACATATGCACCTTGGAATCTTGGATTGGACTAACTACGGGAAAGTCTTTATTCATTCATAAATCAATTCCCCTAATGGAGAATTTGATACTTATCTGCATCCATAAATAGTTTCAAAAAGCAGATAATTGGTTGGCAATCTAGTTTATACGCTTTTTTTAGTACTACTGACTCTGTTACAATGCAGTATCTGTTCATAACTACTTTTTCAACCTACTGAAGCACAAAGAGTCAATACCGCCCCCACTGGGGCTCAAACCCATGACCTCCCATTTGGGAGAGCCACTTTGTGCCACTAGACCACAAGGTCATTGGCAATCTAGTTTATACGCTAATTCTCTTGTTAAGGTTAAAATCATACAAGCTCCTTGAAACCATTTGCTCATTCCCCTCACTTATATGAAATATATTCTAATACTAAATCTCAGAGTGCCAATTTTCTTTTGAATGCCTGAAGTTCTACTCTAGTATGTACGATTCAACAGCACTAGTATATGAAATTGAATTGTGACTTTTTTGCTTACCATTTGTATTATTTGTACGCACTGCAGTGGTGATGAGGATCAGGCTCAAGAGAGAGTCGACAAGTTAGCAAAAATATTGAAAGAGAGAGATATAAGCTCCATCCTTAAAAATGCAGGGGTAGGGGTGATCAGCTGTATCATACAAAGGGACGAGGGACGAGGCCCTATGAGGCACTCCTTTCATTGGTCAGAAGAGAAGCGCTATTACCAGGAGGAGCCTCTATTACGTCACCTTGAGCCTCCTCTATCAATTTACCTTGAATTGGTGAGTTGATTCTCAACTCATGTTCCCTCCCCCCCTCCCACCCCCCTCAAAAAAAAAAAAATCTTTCTTTTATCTTAGTTTGTAGGAGAGAAGTTATTGTGCACCATGTGACTGATTTTCGATTCATCATTTCATTCCAACCCAGGATAAGCTCAATGGCTATGACAAAATTAAGTACGCACAATCAAGGGACCGTCAGTGGCACCTGTACACTGTTGTAGACAAGCCTCGCCCAATCCAGAGGATGTTTCTCAGAACACTTGTGAGACAACCCATGTCAGATGAAGGTTTACCAGTGTTTCAAGGGCTAGATCGTCAAAAAACTCATGCCCCATTTTCATTGTCTTTTACTTCAAGGAGCATTTTGAGATCTTTAACATCTGCACTTGAGGAGCTTGAGCTTAATGTCCATAATTCAACCGTCAAATCTGACCATGTGAATATGTACCTCTATATTTTAAGGGAGCAACAAATAGAGGATCTGTTGCCCTATAACAAGTAGGAATTCTACTTCTTTTGTCAAATAGTTACTCTTCTTTGTATATGCATCTCATTAACTTTCTTTTTTTACTTTTTTATATCTTTCCAGGCGAGTAGATGTATATAATGGTAATGAAGAAGCAGTTGTAGACCAAATTTTAGATGAAATGGCACGTGAAATCAATGCATCTGTTGGTGTAAAAATGCACCGTTTAGGTGTTTTTGAGTGGGAAGTGAAGCTTTGGATATCATCCACTGGAGACGCCAATGGTGCTTGGAGAGTTGTGGTTGTAAATGTGACGGGCCACACCTGCATTGTGAATGTAAGTGGAATTACATACAGCATTCATGATTCTATATTAATCTCTCTAATTACAGTTGAACCATTCACCTTAATATGACCTTTAGTAAACATTTTATACAACGCTGTTTAGCTAATATATTTATTACACTCAGATCTACCGTGAGGTGGAAGATACAAACAAACACAGAGTCGTCTATCACTCCACGAGTGGGGTGGGTCCTCTGCATTGCGTGCCAGTTACTGCATATTATCAACCTCTGGGAGTTCTTGATCAGAAACGACTCGTGGCCCGTAAAAGCAGCACAACCTACTGCTATGATTTCCCCCTGGTAAATCCTGACAAACTTGGAGATACAAGTAAAACAAAGATAGATTTTTTCCCCCCTGTATTATTAATGTGAAATCAAATCATCCTTACAGGCTTTTGAAGTAGCATTGCAGAAGTCTTGGGCTACTGAATTTCCTAGAACTAACAAGCCTAAAGAAAACCTCATTAAAGTCACCGAATTGACTTTTTCGGACCAAAAAGGCTGTTGGGGTACTCCTCTTATTCCAGTGGAACGCAAGCCTGGGCTCAATGATGTTGGCATGGTGGCTTGGATTATGGAAATGTCTACACCCGAGTTCCCTTCTGGAAGGAAAATTATCATTGTTGCAAATGATGTCACCTTCAGAAACGGATCTTTTGGTCCAAGAGAAGATGCATTTTTCCAAGCAGTGACTGATCTAGCCTGCACTCAGAAACTGCCCCTTATTTATTTGGCAGCCAATGCAGGAGCTCGAATTGGTGCTGCCGAGGAAGTAAAATCTTGCTTTAAAGTTGGATGGTCTGATGAATCTAATCCCGAACGTGGTATGCAGTATTTATACTTGACTCCTGAGGATCATGCACGCATTGGGTCATCTGTCATATCACATGAACTAAAGTTGTCTAGTGGAGAGACTCGATGGGTGATTGATACTATTATAGGAAAAGAGGATGGCTTGGGCGTTGAGAACTTAAGTGGTAGTGGTGCCATTGCCAGTGCATATTCAAGGGCCTACCATGAAACATTTACGCTAACATATGTAACTGGGAGAACTGTTGGCATAGGTGCCTATCTTGCTCGGCTTGGTATGAGATGTATACAGAGGCTGGATCAACCGATTATTCTTACTGGTTTCTCTGCACTGAATAAGCTCTTGGGTCGGGAAGTTTACAGCTCCCACATGCAACTTGGTGGACCTAAAATTATGGCAACCAACGGAGTTGTTCATCTGACAGTTTCTGATGACCTTGAAGGCATCTCGGCAATTTTGAACTGGTTAAGCTTTGTTCCGCCATATTCTGGAGGTCCACTTCCCATTTCTACTGCTATGGACCCTCCTGAGAGACCCGTTGAATATTTTCCTGAGACCACATGTGACCCTCGAGCTGCTATCTGTGGCATCAAGGATGCAAGTGGGAAGTGGCTGGGAGGCATGTTTGACAAGGATAGCTTTGTTGAGGCATTGGAAGGCTGGGCAAGAACCGTGGTGACTGGGAGGGCAAAGCTTGGAGGAATACCTGTGGGAATAGTTGCTGTCGAAACCCAAACAATGATGCAAGTGATACCTGCAGATCCCGGGCAGCTCGACTCTCATGAGCGGGTTGTTCCCCAGGCAGGGCAAGTATGGTTTCCCGACTCTGCAACTAAAACTGCTCAAGCATTGATGGACTTCAATAGAGAAGAGCTCCCGCTTTTTATCCTTGCCAACTGGAGGGGATTTTCCGGGGGACAAAGGGATCTCTTTGAGGGTATCCTTCAAGCCGGTTCAACCATTGTTGAGAACCTTAGAACATACAAGCAACCTGTTTTTGTATACATCCCTATGATGGGTGAGCTTCGTGGCGGGGCATGGGTAGTTGTAGATAGTAAAATTAATTCAGATCACATTGAAATGTATGCAGAAAGAACGGCTAAAGGGAATGTTCTTGAGCCCGAAGGTATGATTGAAATCAAGTTCCGAACAAAAGAACTGCTGGAGTGCATGGGTAGACTTGACCAAGAACTTATTAAATTGAGAGGAAAGCTTCAGGAAGCAAAGACCACTGGGATCCACGAAACTGTTGATTCTTTACAACAGCAGATAAAAGCCCGTGAAAAAAAACTTCTGCCAATATACACTCAGATTGCCACCAAGTTTGCCGAATTGCATGATACATCACTAAGAATGGCTGCAAAAGGAGTGATCAAAGAAGTTGTAGATTGGGAAAATTCTCGTTTTTTCTTTTATAAAAGATTGCTCCGAAGAGTTGAGGAAGAGTCCTTGATCAAGGCTGTGAAGGATGCAGCTGGTGACCAGCTTTCTGACAAATCCGCTTTTGAGATGGTAAAGAAGTGGTTTTTAGATGCTAAAACCACACAGGGCAAAGAAGATGATGCTTGGAAAGATGACAAAGCCTTCTATCTTTGGAAGCGTGATCATAGTAACTATGAAGACAAGTTGCAGGAATTGCGTGTGCAAAAGGTCTCGGTTCAATTATCAAAGATTGGCGATTCAGCTTTAGATGCTCGTGCTTTACCTCAAGGTCTTGTTTCACTTCTTCAGAAGGTAAGCTGCCCGATTGTGTTATACTACCATTTTTATTCTATTCCGTCTTTACCCATTCGTTTTGGATTTTGGAAAGGGGACTTACATTTCGATTTCACTGCAGTTAGAGCCATCAACCAGAGAGCAATTGATCATTGAACTACAAAAGGTCCTCAATTGATCAAACCAACTTGCATAATCCCCCGAATATGCGCTTTGAAGTTACTTACATACAGTTCAATGAAGATTTTCAATGATCTACTCAATTTAGGAGCTTTAAAAGATCGACAGATCATTGAATCGTTGCTTTTGTTTGTGAATGTATATATTTATAGTCCGAGAGAATAGGATGTAGTCTCCGATTATTTGAGAAGAGAGCAGGGCCCATTTCGTAAGCGTCCTATCTGCTAAATAAGTTTTTATGTAAATCTCATTTATTTTTTCTGTTGTAACAAATGATTAAGTAGAAAATACAACATGAGGTTTCTGTGTTAATGTTGTCCATGCCTGTTTCTATTCGATCTTTAGAATCTCGACTAAGCAGTGATTTGTATCGACTTTCTTGCAACTCTGTCTTCAATTTTCGTTTTGCAGGGCTTTGAGTCAAGTTTATCATCTTCGGTTGTAGAGGCAACACAAAAAGTATAAGATTTTGTTGCGAGTGTTAGTAAAGGTCAGTTCGAGTACTCTGTCTTCTTGCTTGCCCGTTTACTTTTGGACTTGTGTATCGAGAAGATTGTCTGTGAAACGTATAATATTTAGGAAAATGCTATATGAACCTCGTATGATGAACGATATTTGGATCAACCGAAAGGTTATGTTTGAGTCTTTTTAGAGCTTTCTTTGCAGTATTCATAAAATAGCATACATATTATCATATCAGCAACCTTATTTTCTTGACCTTATGCCTCTCCTTCTGTTCTTCGTGCTTCTTCTTCGTCTCTTTCTTTCTCATTTCCTCGACACGTTTCTTCTTCTCTGTTTCTTCCCTCTTTCGTTTCTCTTTTTCTTTCGCTTTCTTCTCCTCTTCCCTTCTCATGTCCTCCCGAGCTCGTTTCTTCTCTCTCCCCTTCTGATCTCTCTTTCTCTTCTCTTTTTCTTTCGCCTTCTTCTTTATCTCCTTAAGCTCATCCTTTGCCATCGCCTTCTTGACATTGAAGCACATTATGCTATATGAATCTGCAGAGTTTCGAAGATGAATGTGTGCGTTAAGTGTTCTGCATTACTTTTATGCTTCAAATGAATGGCATTGTTGAATGAGTTTTGGATGATTGTGGTTGGAACTTGATGCCGTCCGATGCCTAGTTTTGATCGGCAATTTGTTTTGTTGTGTGCATGGCGATACTTTAGTCCCCAAATTTTCTGAATTTCTTTTTCGGTGACGAGAGAAACCCGTAATCACTATCTGAGAGTGTATACGAAGTAAATCATTTCGCTCTTATGTATAGCCTATAAACCACATTGTTCGATTGAGAGGGTATTTTTGGTTTGATGATGCAAACCCGCAGTCACTATCCGAGAGTATGCACGGGGTAAATCTCGCTTTGTTATCCTATTCGGCAAATGACCAAAATGAAATGCTGAGATTCGAATTCGCGACCTCGTGGAAATGTCTATTATTATCATTCTTCCAAAAAGGTTGAACCCCAACCCGACAGAGCATTTGAGTGTATGTAAATCATGGTAACTCAACTGAACATGAATCACAGAGGCTAGATCTGTGTTTACTGCGCACAAGAGCCCCTCACTTTGAGAGGTAGCTCCCACATTGCCACTGGTGAGACTCAATCCCTTGTCATTTTTCCAACTTTTCGCCTGGAGTATGTCTATTATCACTAAAAATTAATTTTTATCCTAACTTTCTAAAATCTTCTATCCCAACGCAACATTACTCCATAAAATATTGTCAAAAGCTCAGCCGACGAATTGAATACTTCTTGACATTATTCATAAGATAATAGAGTGATTCTTCACTTCTTACAAGATTTTTTAAAAAAATACTAATTTTCAACATTTTATCGCTATCCATCATCCTAAATAGCGATAATAGTCATAGTACGTCTGTACGTGTCCTAAATTCATAATAAAAATTTTTATTATTAAAAAAAAAAACAAAAAAAAAAAAAAGAAGACATTTTCTTACCCCAAAAGAAGACATTTTCTTGTATCCGTGGAAGAATGTAAATGGACTCCTAGCTAACATCAGCAATAAATTAAGAAAATGTCAGCTACCTTATCTGTACACCGACCAGTTGCATCATAATAAGATAGTGCATGTCCCAAAAGTTTATGTTAAATATTATGAATTTAATGTGTGTTAATATTTAGAAAAAATTGTAAAAAATGTATTTCAATAATATGTCAATTATCAATGTTATTCTTGAATTATGAGTGGTGTAAATGTTGTCTTTCAATTATTAAAACGGTACACATATAGCCCCTCCCGTAACGGACATGTGGTTCCCCGTTAGTGTACGACACCGTTAAGTCAGAGTAAATATGTAATTTAATTGTTTTTTCCCTCCCTCGATTCAAAGTACCAGCGATGGACATCGGTGGGGAACCACAAGTTCGTTACGGGAGGAGCTATATATGCACCATTTTGATAATTAAGGGGCAACATTTACACCACTCATAATTCAGGGGTGACATTGATAATTGACATATTATAGAGGGACTTTTTTTACAATTTTCCCTAATATTTATTTTCGGTCGAGTTTATTACACTTTTATTCTATTATATTACATAAGAATGAAATTTACCGTACACAGTATTAAATAGTGGTTACAGGATTTCTTCGTAACCCACAAAAATAATAAGATAGTAGTGTTGGTAGCTAAGTTATATTTTTTTTGTATGTTTCTTCTAATTTACATGTGTATTTCGTAACACACAAATGAATATGAAAGCATTGAAAGAGTTCATGTTTTTCTTGGACCTCCTTGATGATTATATATTTAGCTTTAAAAAAAAAAAAAAAAACTTTTTTTTTTCATATGGTGACGAGGGAAACCCGACTATAGTCAATATCTGAGAGTATGTAGGTATTGGATATATAAACATCAATCATATGTAAACGGAGCACAATCTAGTGACCTTGCTTGACTACCATATTTCGTCAAGATTGGAATTATACAATTATGGATATTTATAGAGAAATGAATGTTTGTGTTTGCTAATAAATGTTTACAGACAACTACTCCTCTACACATTGGTCCACTTATTTTGGAGTCTGATCCCCATCTAGGGGGTCAAGATTCAACTACTATTTTGTTGAGAGCATATAGTAATATTTATTCATTACCTCGCCTCTACTGAGGCTCGAATGTACAACCTTTCATATGAGAGTACAATTTTGGTGTCATTAGATTGACCATAAGGTCTTGGTAGATATTCTACATATTATTTTCATATATATGACCTTACAATACGATAGATCAAAATTCAAATTCAAACCCGCTACTATACAAATAGAAAATCCCTAAAACTTTGGCTTTAATTTACATATATGAATTGAAACGACCTAGATATATAGGTAGCTAGGTGGCTACATGATGGAACATGCATTTGGATTTTCATCACTGAACATAAGAGTGAACTGTTCTTCCACTGGATTCAAATTGACAATGGCTGGATCATTGGTGGCCCTCACAAAATTAGGGGGTGCCTTTTTGTCATAAACCCCAGCCACATATGGGTGGGCCACCATTGCATAGGGCACATATGGCCATGGCTCAAACTTCTTCCCTGTTGATTTTGCTGCCTTCATCACTTTCTTTGCATCTACAAACCCTGTCACTGTTGCCTTCTGCTGCTTCAAGTCCACATCCACTGACTTTGCACCTGCATGCATGCCCAATTAATTAAAGACAACACTGCATATATACATGCCAAATCTAATCAACATGGTAAAGTGGACAGATCCCTTGTGCACACTGGCATATGACTTTGTATGCTGAGTCATTGAATGACCATGATTTATATTCTCCCAAATACTCTGTCGAGTCGGGGTATAAGGGGACCTTGGAGTTGGAGATTCGATCTTTTGGGAGAAAATCTAGTCAACATGGTTATAGATAGCCAACATTTGCCAAGCACTTGTGCTAAGATGACATGTAGTGATTCTCCCATATGAGAGGTCATGAGATCGAGCCTCAGTGGAGGTGGTGTTGAACAACCAATTTTACCACCTTGACCGGCTTTAAAAAAACCTCACGGGAAACTACTTTGTCTAGTCGGTAAAAGATTACAAGGAGATACATAGCTAACCGGCTCGATCAAAACTACGAAAGGCAATAGATCACCCTCACTAAGAGTCGAACTTGAGTGAAAAAAAAAAAAAAAAAAAAAAAAAAACCTTTAAAATTTTCATTCAATCTTAAAGGCAGGTGATATATTGTCATCAAATTTTCATACAATCTTAATGGGTTTGGTTTAGGTTTGAAGTAGATATCACTGTAAATCTCACTGCTAGCCAGGTTTTGAACAAGATTAGACCCCAGCAACTAAATTCATCAGACCGTTAGTTTGATAATTACAAGATTTTAAATTCAACTTACAATACTAATAGTCTGTTAACTTTCTTGATTTGAGCCAATTAACTATGACACAATACATTATACATACATACCTCAGGTAATGGTTGCGAGTTTTTTCGTAACCCAAAGTAGCTAAGCTAGCTAGCATGCATACCTTTGACTCCAGATAGAACTTTCTTGACTTTACGCACACAACCTTCACAATCCATTCTGATCTTGATGGACACTGTGTTCATCTGCTTCTTCTTCTTCCTGCTTCTCTTGCCACTGCTAAGTAAATCAGACAAGAATTCCAGAGTTCCTGCAACTCCCATCTTGCTAGCTTATACACAAACTTGCAGAAGTGTATGTGTGTATATATATATATATATATCTGGTAAGCAAGCTAATAAGTTACTAACACTGAACTTAAAGAAACTTTAAGAAACCAAAAAGTGAGGATTATGAATGATGATAGACTGTGATTATCACAGGAAGGGTTAAGCAGACAAGAAAATTTGGATTATCTTTGTGACTGGGATTGCAAGAAAAGGACTATACTAATGTGGTGTTTTGGTTGTGTTGATGAATGAGTTGTAGGTGGTGGGCATGTATTTGGTTACTACTTGTATGTATGCATTGATTGAGAGAGGATATTAAATATAGTGGTTCAGATCAGAAGAAGCAATATAATTATTTATGGAGTGGGGTTCATCTAGAAATCTGAAGAAAATTCAATTCTTCACCTCATATGCTTTTAAACTTGTGGGAGTCTTGCTTGCCCCACTTAAAAGGGCATAATATCTGCAAGACAAGTTACATTAATTAGCACACTTCAGTACTGGTGGCAGGCTTTCTCATAAATCAAAAATTGTATTAACGAGGGTTATTTGATCAGAGAACCAACATTATTGTTAATAAACGTTCACGGCTGGAAATTATGGTATTTTTGACTACCTGAAAGTGATCTTAAATCAAGTCGAAAGCAAAAAGTGATCGGAAATAGCAACAAAGGTTTTTTCAGATACCAAAAGTGGTCAGAACAAGGCTTTCGAATTGATTTAAGATCACTTTCAGGTGGTTGGAAATTTCATAATTTCCAGCCGTGGCTATTTGAACAGAAGTTAGCATTTACGATGTTAATTGACTTGACACTTAAATTCTAAAGTCGAGTATTGTATCCAAGCAAGAGTACAGTGTAAACTCCGTTCCTATGTATTAACCTGCAAACCACACATGAGGGATAAACCTTACTGGAAAGACTTTATATGTGTTATAATGCACATCGGGCATTAGTATTATTATTGTCCGAATTTGAATTTTTTATTTTTATTTTTTAAGTTTGAAAGTTTATTAGAAAAATAATTTTTAAATGCAATTGTAAGTTGTATGATGAATAAATTGTAAGAAAATATATTAACATTCAATTTTTAGTCACATCAAATTTGGTTGAATTATTGAACTATGTATGATTACTAGTTAAATGTATAAAAACCTATATTATTGGTACATGCATATGCATGCATGATGACCAAGACCGTACCCTCACACGCATGAGTGGGCTATAGTGAATTATTCATTGTGTCAAGTAGTATATATGATTCATTGATGAATAATTGATTTTTCTCTGAACCCATTATAAAATCAAACAAGAAGATTAATTCAATATTATTAAGTTAGTAAGTTATCATTCTCAATACATTGTATATACCAAAAGTCTTTAATGTCACCTTGAAAGGGTTGACCAGTTGAATGGGTTGACCAGTTGAATGAAACATAATTTTTGTACTAGAAAATCACGAGTCCAATTTTTATTAGCACATTTTAAGTTGAGTATAGTACGTAGTTGAATAAAATTATATGTTTTTTCATTTTAATCAAAGTTTAAACTATTGTTAAAGATACATATTTTTAGGGTAATATAATATTCAATCATTATACATTTATAATCAAGCAAAAGACGTAATATATATTGTTAGAATGTGGCTAAAATTCATTCAAACCCATGAAGACAACATTTGTCGTAGCCATCCACGTAATGCTGCAACAGCCGCACTTCACTGCATGTTCTCCTATTATGCGCAAATTTCTCTCCTTTTTGATTGTATAAATAGCCTAGGTTTTTTTACTTTGTAATTGCATTCATTACAACAATTCTTTCTTTTGTCTTCTTACGTAGTCATACATATATATATATATTTCTATTCTTTTGTTTTCTCTTTTGAGGGAGCTAATATATATATATATATATATATATATATATATATATATATATATATATATATATATATATGTTTATTCCATTTCCCAATTATTTTGTCATTTAGATATTTTCCCTATTATTTAACTTCTATAATTCTCAATTTTCGATTCTTCGCTTCCGCATTATTCCGCTATATTCCTAACAAGTGGTATCAGAGCGGTTTAATTGAGAGTTATTTTCAAAGATGTCAACTGTTACCAAGTTCGATATCGAGAAGTTCGACAGGAAAATTAGCTTTTCTATCTAGAAGGTTCAGATGGAAGCCGTTCTAACCCAGAACGGTTTGAAGAAAGCGCTAGCTGGGAAGAAGAAGAAACCGGCTACAATGACAGATGTAGATTGGGAAGATCTGGATGACAAGGCACGTTCAACCATTCTTTTGTGTCTGTCTAAAGAAGTTCTACGTGAGGTAGTAAGTGAGACGACTGCGTCAGATTTATGGTCCAAGCTGGATACGCTTTACATGGCCAAAACTCTGGCGAACACGTTGCGTTTGAAGGAGCGTCTGTACACAATCCGTATGACGGAAGGTACTTCTATTAAATCTCACTTGGATGAATTCAATTCTATTTTATTGGACTTGGAAAATATTGATGTTATAATTGAAGATGAGGATCGCGCTGTTTTATTGCTTGTCTCTCTCCCTAGATCATACACGCATTTCAAAGAAATTATGCTGTATGGTAATAGTAGTGATACCCTTACTTTCGACAATGTTAAGTCGAACTTATTGTCCAAAGAAAAGTTTGACTTTGAAATTAAGTCTGAGGACAAAGGTGAAGGCTTGACTGTAAGGGGTCGTTCACTTGAATCAGGGAGTAGCAATAAAAATTCTAGATCCAAGTCCAAAGGACATAAGTCCAACAAATCCTGTAAGTACTGCAAGAAGCATGGTCATGATGTGACTGAATGCTTCAAGTTGAAAAACAAGCAAGAGAGAGAAAAGAAGTCCGCTGAAGCTAGTGTTGTTGAAAGTGATTCAGATGGTGATGTGTTGTTATCTGTTAGCTCCGGTGAGAAACGGAGTGAAACCGAGTGGATTTTGGACTCTGGTTGTACATTCCACATGTGTCCCCACAAAGATTGGTTCATCTCTCTGGAACCGGTTGATGGTGGAGTTGTCTTGCTGGGTAATGATACCCAATGCAAGGTTAGTGGAATTGGAAGTGTTCAGATTAAAACTCATGATAACGTTGTCAGGACTCTTACCAATGTTCGGTATATTCCTGATTTGAAACGCAATCTGATATCATTGGGCACCTTGGAATCTCTGGGGTGCAAGTACACAGCTGAAGGTGGAGTTTTGAAGGTCATAAAAGGCTCTCTTATTCTCATGAAAGCTTCTCGTTCTGGAAGCTTGTATGTCTTGCATGGCAGTACTGTGACAGGTTCAGTAGCGGTATCCTCATCGGTGTCTGATGCGAATCTCACTCAGTTATGGCATATGCGTCTGGGGCATATGAGTGAGAAAGGCATGCATCTCCTGAGCAAGAAAGGCCTCCTTGGTGATTCAGGTACGGGTAAATTACAATTTTGTGAGCATTGTGTTTTTGGGAAACAAAAGAGGGTTAGTTTCTCTACTGCTACACACCGTACCAAAGATGTATTGGAATATATACATTCCGATTTATGGGGACCGACTAAATTCCAGTCTATGGGAGGCTGTAGATACTTTATGTCTATTATTGATGACTTTTCTCGTAAAGTCTGGGTCTATTTCCTGAAACATAAAAATCAGGCATTTTCTATTTTCAAGAAGTGGAAAATACTTGTTGAGACTCAGACAGGTAAAAAAGTCAAGAAGCTCAGGACAGACAATGGCTTGGAGTTCTGTGAGTCAGATTTCAATGACTTTTGTGCGGAAAATGGAATCGCTAGGCACAAGACCTTGCCTGGTAAACCCCAGCAGAATGGTGTTGCCGAACGTTTGAACAGGACTCTATTGGAAAGAGCTCGTTGTATGCTCTCTAATGCTGGGTTATGGAAACGGCGTGATTTTTGGGCCGAGGCCGTTTCTACTGCTTGCTATTTGGTAAATAGATCTCCGCATTCATCCCTTGATTTCAAAATTCCAGAAGAAGTTTGGTCAGGTAATCCTGTTGACTACTCTATCTTAAGAGTTTTTGGATGTCCTGCATATGCTCATTCTAGTACGGGTAAATTAAACCCAAGAGCTGTCAAATGCATTTTCCTTGGTTATGCTTCTGAGTCAAAAGGGTATCGTCTATGGTCTCCTGATTCTCAGAAAATCATTCTGAGTCGAGATATCACTTTTGACGAAAATGCACTACTTTCTTCTGGAAAAGTTCCCAGTACAGATGAGACGCAGAGTACTGGTGAGAAGGTGGAGTTTGAGTTCAGGCCTATTGATAGTGTTACTACTGCTGATGGTAATACTAAAGATGATGCATCTACTAGCACCACACCTCTCGTCGAGCCACAACGAGAGTATTCCATTGCTATGGATCGTCCTAGGAGGACAATTAAAAAACCTGCTAGGTACGCTAGTGACGATGAAACCAATATGGTTGCTTATGCTCTTTCAGTCACACAGGAAGTTGATGGTGATCCATCCTACTATTCCGAGGCTCTTCCTATTGCTAAGTTCAAGCAATGCTTGAGTTTAGTCGGCTGTTTCAGTTGTTAATTTTCACAGTGAATTTGATCCAAGGTGGAGATTGTTAGAATGTGGCTAAAATTCATTCAAACCCATGAAGACAACATTTGTCGTAGCCATCCACGTAATGCCGCAACAGCCGCACTTCACTGCATGTTCTCCTATTATGCGCAAATTTCTCTCCTTTTTGATTGTATAAATAGCCTAGGTTTTTTTACTTTGTAATTGCATTCATTACAACAATTCTTTCTTTTGTCTTCTTACGTAGTCATACATATATATATATATTTCTATTCTTTTGTTTTCTCTTTTGAGGGAGCTAATATATATATATATATATATATATATATATATATATATATATATATATATATATATATGTTTATTCCATTTCCCAATTATTTTGTCATTTAGATATTTTCCCTATTATTTAACTTCTATAATTCTCAATTTTCGATTCTTCGCTTCCGCATTATTCCGCTATATTCCTAACATATATAATATGGTAAATTTTGTTGTTTTTACATACATAGGAACCTGCCAAAGTGCCAAGATTTCAAACAAAAGATTGCATGCCTTCGCAATCAAACAGGAGAGAAGACGTACCAACATCTTTTTTTAATAAACATTTTATTATTTGCCTAATATATGGATGCCACGTTGGAAGAGATCCTTGTGACAAGTGGCATTGAGGGATTTCCAAGGTGGATTTTGTGTCCACGTGGCCTAGTGTTATTAGCCATTGACTTTAATCTTATGAGATGTTTGATAAATGTAGCATGTAGGTATGATTGAGTGTAACTCTGAAAAATAATCACAGAGTAATCTCAATAGAGATTTTTGGAGGAATTTTTTAGTTTAGTTAGAGCATCCACAATGGTTGGGGAGAATTGGGGGATAATGTAAGAGTAATTAGGAGAGAGAATGTGAGAAGTGGAGGAAAAAAAACAAAAAAATCAAAATCAAAAATTAAAAAACAAAAAATTAAAAAAAAAAAAAGAAAAAAAAGGTCAGGCGCGCTGAACGCGGGCACGTGCCTTGCACGCGCCCGTGTGGGCGGGCTGCTGTGCGTGAAACGCGCACAGCAGCCTCTTTTTTCTTCTCTTTCTTTTTCTTCTTTTTCTGCATTCTCCTTAAATTTGCAGGAGAAATATCTCCACCAATAACTCCCCCCCCCCCCCCCCTTGTTATTATCCCCACCCGAGATAATTCATCTGACATTATCTCCATAATATCCACGGATGTGGATGCTCTTAGAAGATAAATAAGTTGATTGGAAGTAAGAAAAGAGAAGAGGGAAGGAAATTATTTTATTAATAAAATAATTTTTTAATTTGTGTGTCCCATAGAAAAGAAAAAAGAAAAAAATTCCCTCTTATGCGCGTTTGGCGTACCATGCTCTCTTGTTCGTTAATTTAAAAACAAACAAAAAAAAGAAAAAAAAAAAAAAAAAAAAAAACAACTTAGTTGACAGCATGCTTTGTTTTTCTCCTTCTTTTTCTCTCCCATAACACAAAAAGTCACTGCAAAAATATGTGTTGATGGAGATGCTCTAAGATATTGATACAATAAGATTACAATATGGATGGCTATTGGGGCTGGGACAAGTGTCACATCTAGGAGTGTCAAAGTAAATCAAACTTCACAGACTAGTCCTAAATCACCCTGTTGTGGAGTGAATTGAAGACTATGTTTTGTCCATAAAGAAGTCCGACTATGAGAAGCTATCCCCTAGTGCTCTTTTTTAGAGTGTCCCATCGTTAAATTAAAAATAAAAAATATTAAAAGTGATTTCGTATTTTGAATTTTGAGGAAGGAAAAAAAAAAATCAAAGTTTACCTAATTAGTTAAATTACGTAACCGACACTCCATTTCTGAAAACAGTTCACATATATATATATACTTTCAAAAAAAAAATGACATTTGAAAATAAGTAATAACTACGTACTTCAATGTCGGTCCACGTCCAAATCTTTTATAAATGTACATGCCAAGTGTATTACGTACAAATTGTTTTATATGATGAGTTGTCATATTTTGTATAACAAATATTTTATAAGTATGAAATGTTATTATATTGTAGAAATCAATCTAAATATATCTATTACACAATTGACTCCTTCCAACCACGTAATATACATCAACAAGCCCAAATTAATAAGATTATTACAAATGTTGGTACATTGTGGCCATGTTGTTAAGTAAGCGCACTATATATTAACTGACTATTTCAAATTAAGAAATTTAGAGTGGTTCAAGTTTGATTTGCTAGTTTTTATATGGTTGGAGCTCGATTTAATTGGCTTGAATTAAGTTTGAGTTTCACTTGTAACTTCAAAATGCTATTATTAATATTATAAATTAATATGTCCAAATATATAGATAATACAAACTAGATATATAACAAATTCTAATTTTCTCTAATTTCATTTTAAAAAAGGATTAAAAATAAGTAAAAATAATTAAAGATGATGACACAAAATTGGTTCCAAACTATTATCAGAATAACCGAGTTGAAGACAAAACTTATAACAAGTATATAAAAGATTGAAGAAAGCCAGCAATGTGGATCCACAAAATAGAGGGTGAGATATGAAGACGTCGGATGTATTGCTTTCAAAATTATTGTCATCTATCGTATACTATTATGCATATTAAACTCGATCGAAGGAAATGTGCTCGTCAATATTCTCTCAAATAATATGAATAATTCAATCTAATATATTTTATATTACTATTACAGTAGCATTCAAAAAAAATATTACTATTACAGTACGTTTGGTTCACAAAGTGAATTTGGAGGGAATAAGGATGCTATTCCACACGGAATGAAATAGATAGGGAATAGAATAGGAATTGTATTCTGTTGTTGGGTTGGATGAAGGAATAGACTTTAGTAATTGTATTCCAGTGTTTGGTTGGTTAAAGGAATAGAATTGGAATATGTTTTAAAGACATAAATACCCTTATACAAAATAATAATAATAATAATAATAATAATAATAATAATAATAATAATAATAATAATAATTATTATTATTATTATTATTATTATTATTATTATTATTATTATTATTATTATTATTATTATTATACAAATACATACATATTTATTTTCTCACTTATCCCACATCGGTTGGAGAAGTAAGGAATGGAGCCTTGAGACTCTTATAAAAGGAGCCTCAAGACTCCATAATTTCAATTGCAATGCTCATCCATTAGCAAGCTTGCAATGCCCATCTGCTAGGCATGCAGATAAGCAGGCTACTTAATTTAGGAGCCAAGGCTCCATAACTAAGGAGTCAGTTATTTTTTTTATTTACATTTACATATATATATATATATATATACACACACACACACACACATTTTCAAAATGCCAATTGCAAACGCGGCAAAATGTGTGTGTGTGTGTATATATATATATATATATATATATATATATATATATATATATATATATATATTGATGGATAAAAATTATAATTAATTAAATATATACATTTATATAATACATTATATTTATTAAATAATTATAAATATTATATAATGTGCAAAGGGTATTTTTGGTATTTGTGATATAAAAGCTATTCCAAAGGGCATGAGAATAACTAATACCAAGCCCCCCCCCCCCCCCCCCAGGAATGGCTATTCCCTTTGCGAAGGTAACAGGGCCTTTGCACAGGGCCCCCAAAAATAATTTTAAAAAAAAAATTTGTATATATAGTGTATTAAGCTGCATAAGCCGCAGTCGCCATTACCGCAACACCGCTATTACGAAATCGGCATTACCGCAATATCCTTGCTTTTCCTTGCCTCGACATTACTGCTATTATGCAAGTACGCAACCCTATACCCTATGGCTTTATGTATTTAATTATTTATGTATACAATATATTAGATTAGACATTATTAGCTAATTAAGTGCAGCAATGGCTTTATGTATTTAATTATTTATGTATACAGTATATTAGATTAGATTATTAGCTAATTACTTAATTAGCTTGAGTTCATTACAAGTATTTACGACATTATCAAAAGCTCTTAATGCTTATTTACACAAAATCACAAATCTCACAAACAGACTACGTGTGAGACGATAGACGCAATTCGATAGAATTGTCAATTCTTCTTGATCATACAAAATCACAAATTTTCAAGTTTTTCAATTCTCTTAACAGGTAATTAAAATTACTAAATATTACACCATTCTTGTTTATTGTTTTATTTACATGACTTATAATTCTGATTTCAGAATAATATATATTCAAGAATTTGTTTCTTGATTAATTCTCTGTTCAAAGAGTTTCTAAATAAATTCTTATTTTTTCTTTAGGGTTTTATAATTATATCTTCTAGAAAATATTCATCTGAGTTTGAGAAGCGTAAAAAGAAAACAAGAATTGAGCAACTAATTCAATCTTAAAAGGGAGCTCTTGAAAAGTTAATTACAAAAGAAACTCAAATATATGTACGTGTAAAAAGATGATGACAAGGAAAATTTTTTAGATGCAAATCTTCATATAGAAGATCAAGATGATTGTGAGATTAGAAAAAATTTAAATGATAGTGTGTACAACGATGATAGATATCACTTGAAAATAATAAGAATGTTGATAGTTGTTTAGATGGTGTTTGTCACAATGATAAACCAAATAACTCGCTTTTATTTGACATATATGATCTAAGAAATTGAGATGCCTGTGATTCTAAATAAATAGATATTCTTGTGTAAGATTCTAAATTGTTGAAATCTTACTTACGATCAAGTATGTTGCAAGAGTGACTCAATGGATTAACTTTAACCTCTATTGAAAATGAGATTTTGGAAGAAGATGATATCAAAAGTTTGGTGGATGATTTTGTGTTAAAATGTGCACGACACATGTTACTTTTTAAATGAAATTTTTTAGATTTATTTTTTATATAATATTTAGTTTTTGAATTTTTGACATAATTTTTTGAACAACAATTATGTATATATACAAATTAATTGAAAAAGGGGCCCAATTTAAGACATTGCACAGGACCCCATTTTTTATTGGAACGGCCCTGGAAGGTAATAGTTCATTCCTAGGCACGTTATTCCAATGACAAAATGATCCAACCAAACGATGAAATATGTCTATTCCAAGAAATGTTATTCCATTCCTGACCTATTCCATGAACCAAACATGCCATTACTCTATTTTTTTTTTTTTTGAAAACACTATTACTCTATTACTCTATTTCATAATACACAATTACTAAAACTCATAAAAATTAATAATATAGAAATACTCTTATAAAATTTATATTTTTTTACAAATATATACGTTGCGACTTAGCTGGGATAATTGTATTTAGTTATATTAGTTGATACTCAAATACTCAATAATAATAAAAATCAACGAGTTTGCTTTCTTAAGTTTTTTTTTTTTTTTTTGTTATACGAGTTTGCCTTTCATAGTGAGTTTTAAAAAAGAAAGAAAACAAACAAGAAAAGATATTGCAATATTAAAAAAAAAAATATCTACTAATAAGTAATAAGAAAAAATTGTCATTTTACCTTCAATACACATTCAATATATTAAAATGTACATTATGATCCACATTACAATATGGAATATGTTCTACAAATTACAATACAATTTGCCGCCTTGGGTTTGGGCCTAAAGAAATATATTTCAGAATCCATTTTATTTTTTGAACTTCTGATTTTAGTCCATTTTCCCAATATATAGCAGCCCATTTATTTGTTTCGTTCGACCCGAACACCGTACTAATAAACCCGAAATCTACCTTTCAACTTCCACTCTTATCTTTTCTTTGCTTTCTCTTCTTCGCAGAGAATAACTAAACCACCACCGAAAGAAAAATTGCTCCATATGCAAACCCTAGAAATTTCGATTCTTCATTTTTTATTATTAAATCCCTCTGAATAATCTATTATTACTTTTTTCCCCTCACAAATTGTGTCTTCTCCTTCCCTTTTCCTCAGGAAAAGAAAATTCTTGAGTTTTCTGTGTTTGTTGTTGTGTTTTTCCTTCAATAACGTAGGGCATTTCAAAGAAATTATTGCATTTGTCGTTTTTTTGTTTGTTTTGCAGGGAATAGTTATTTAATGCGGGAGTTAACTGCATTTGACTGGTCTGATTGTCTGTTCTAATAATTGTTGTGTGTTGTTTCGAAATTAGGGTGTTCCTCTTATCTTGTTCGAAACTAGGATTTGGTCATCTTCTGGAACGAAAAAAAGATTTTTCCTTTATATCTGATTCTCTGGTAAGTCTCTCTCTCTCTCCTTTTAACTTTTTCGGCATGTATTTTTCTACTGCACCTGGTGTTTTGAAGCTTTTCTGCAATTCATTTTTATTTCCCAAGTTTCTGTTGTGAGCATAAGTGGGAAGTTCGATGAATGTTAATGCTGTTATATAAAGTTGTAAGCTTTGTTTCACTACACTGGCATATCTACTTGTGCACTGACAATTTTTTTTCCATTAATGAAAAAAAAAAAAAAAAAGACAGACTAAAGACTGTTTTTTTTTTCCATTTCTCTTACTGTAGAATGCTATATAAGTCAATGCTCATTGTGTATATTTGAAGTAAAGACGGAACTTTATCCCATTGTTTGTAAATATTGATGTGTGCTGTGTTTAACTTTGATTATTGCTAACCAAAGGAAGAAAATTACTTACTAAGCTGATCAATGTAAAGTTCCTTTGTTTTTTGTTATGTCGATTTAAAGTTTGTAAATGCGTAACTCAGTTACTGAAGTGTATTTCTTTGTTGGTTTAGAAAACATGCCTACAGAATATCCTGTGCTTGATAACCGACCAATTAACAAGTGGAAGGTAACTGAGTTGAGGGAAGAGCTTAAGAAGCGGAACTTAACAGTAAAGGGGTTGAAGGATGAGTTGGTGAAAAGATTGGATGAAGCAATTCGCAAGGAAAGGGAAGCCCTTGAGATGGAAGAGAGCAAGGGTTCTGATAGTGAGAGTGAGCCTGTACTTGAGTCCTCTGATGCTCAGGTAGACCATGATGTTGATCAAGTTGTTGATGATGCTAGCAAGGGCAGTGTTAATGAAGTTAGTGAAACAGATGATACTGTTGCTAAAAGTGAGACCAATGATTGCCCTACTGATAAGGTAGATCATGATGGTGATCAAGTCGTTGATGACGCTAGGAATGGCAGTGTTAATGAAGTTAGTGAAGCAGATGATACTGTTGCTAAAAGTGAGACCAATGATTGCCCTACTGATAAGGTAGATCATGATGGTGATCAAGTTGTTGATGACGCTAGGAAGGGCAGTGTTAATGAAGTTAGTGAAGCAGATGATACTGTTGCTAAAAGTGAGACCAATGATTGCCCTACTGATACAGAACATGCAAAATCTACAGGCGAGGTGCCAACTGGCGATTCTGATCAGTCTACGATGGTTGAAGGAAGAAAAGATTCAGTTATGCCTATGGAAACCGTAACTTCAGTTGATGTTAATGAGGGTCCTGTTGAGATGGTGCTAGATAACAAGGTTGAGGAGGATGAGGCCATGAAGTCTTCCCAAAATGATGATGTATCAATAGAAGGGTCCAGTCTGTTAGAGTCTTCTTTGGATGGTGGCGGTATTGTCAAGGAGGTTGTAGAAATGAAAATAATTTCTGCTGAGGAACCTAATTCTATGGGAGAAGAAAATGGTATTGAGGTGCCACCTAATGCATCTGGGGGAATCACTACAAGCAGCAAAGTTGATCCTGAAAATGAGGGATTAAAACCTTTGAAGATGGATGCTGAACCTGATTTGTCACACCCAAGCACCCAGGTACATGAGGTCATCCCTAATTTAGGGTCTCAAGTAAAATCTGACTCAATTCCTAGTGATTCTTTGCCCATTTATGTAACAAAAGAACTTAATGATGATTTGAATGCTGATAATGTCCAATTAGAACAAGAAATTGTTAGGCCTGAGATGGTTCCTCCATCAGCCAACAAAGACCCCTCTGGCTTTGGCATTAATCATCCAATGGATGATCAAATGCCAAGCAAGAGTCAAGGTCTTGTTGGAGGAACTGATGATGACGAGTCCTCAAATGTGAAATTTAGCATGAAAAATGAAAATGCAGACCAATCCTTTGTAGATGTTTCCATTATAGAACATAACATGGATAATAAGGCTTCAAATAGTACTGAGCTGGAAGTGCTGTCAAAAGATGGAAATATGAATCAAGCCGAGTTTTCATGTAAAGAGAAAGAATCATCTGAAGAAGAAAAACTTGATGTTGCTGCTTCTACCGAGGAAACCAAATTTCAAGGTATGATTGCTCTCCTGTCATTTTCTCCTAACTTCACTGTATATATGATCAATGATCCTGATGCCATTGCCTATTTCTATTCTGTCTGCTACCTACCAAAGCAGACAATGAGTCTACAGATGCTGGTTTTAGTAAGATTACTGAAATGGCAGATGGAGAAAATCTTGAAAAAATAAACCTCGATCAATCTTCAGCAGATGATTCCATGGAGGAGGACATAGTAGAAATAAAGATTGTAGATTCTGAACAGATCTCCTCTGAAGTGGGTGAAAAGGCTGAAGAACCTCATACTAAGGAACCTGGGTTGGGGTTGGAAGGTAGTAGTACTGCTTTGCCGTCTGACATTCCTTCTGATGCAGTTGAAGTTTCTCATGGAGATAAGAATAAGATTCTTGATGCACCTGAAAAGAGAAAATTTCAAGGTATATTTTACTTGTTAGCATAATGAGAGTTAGCATATGCTGCTTTCTCATGACAACATTAATTACTTGTTAGGGAAAATATGCAGAATGTAATACAAAAAGCACACTTCAATTTTTGCTGTGTCTGTTTTTATGGTTTTACTCGAGTCCCTTTAGCCTGTTTTTATTGTTCAAATGCTGATATTGGTTTTTCCATTATGAGCTGGTATGTCATATGCTAGGACAACATTACTTGCAACTCACAGCATGTATGCAATAGACAACGGTCTAGGACATACTTCCTAAAAGTGAAACTGAAGATTTGAAAAAATGGAGGGGCAGCTGGTTTATCATTGTGTTCTTTCTTTATGTACTCAAAATGGGTTCTCTTTTGGGGAATAGGTGCCAAAATGACATACCGAAGCTCCAAATATTAAGTAAATGGCCATTATTTTAAAATTACACCATATGTATTTGTATGTTATGCTGCTATCATGTCTTTTTTCAGAAGCAGCTGCATCGGGAAGCAAGGAACCTGCCAAAAGGCAGCGCAAATGGAATTATGAGTCTCTAAAGATATCTGAACCAAAAAGTCCCAGTATCTCGGTTCTCACACCGAAGCAAATCTCAAGGCCCTCCCCTGGTGGCGATGACTCTATGCATGATGTAGATACTCCAAAGGAGCGCATTGGTAAGAACATGTTTTTTTTTGGGGGGTAACAGTGCAAATGTCATTTGCAAAAAGTGTAGTATTGTAATAACTAACCACTCTTTGATTGTGTATTCCAGTTCCAGAGTCTTCAAAAACACCCACCAATTCTCTCAGAATTGATAACTTTGTGAGGCCATTTACATTGAAAGCTGTACAAGAGCTCCTAGGTCGAACTGGAAAGATCTGCAATTTCTGGATGGACCACATCAAGACCCATTGCTTTGTCAAGGTAATTTTATTCACATTCTCATTCTCAGTTTCGCCCCAACAAAAAGATACTACTCCCTTGACTCTGCCTTTTTGTGTTTTGGCATGTTTTTGCCAAAATTTTAATAATCTGCAGGGTATGTGTTTTCAGCTAGCTAATATAGTTGGTTGTTCAAGACATAACTGTTATAAGCTCTTATTACATGTAAATAATAATTTAAATATGGGATTATGATGATTTTTCTTTAAACAGTTTTCTTCTGTCGAGGAAGCCATAGAGACTCGAAATGCTGTGTACAATCTTCAGTGGCCTACAAATGGAGGTCGCCTCCTGCTTGCAGATTTTGTTGATCCACAGGAAGTAATCTCACGTTTAGAGGGCCCTTCCAAGCCAACCACTCCTACAGCGAGTGCCAGCCCAGCAGTCCCTCCGGTCCAATCTCCATTGCCCTCACCACTAGCCAGGCAGCAGGCTCCTCCCCGGGAGCAAGGTGAGCGACCTCATCCACTCTCCCGGCAACCACCTCCACCTGCTTCTGATCGGCCTGCAATGAAAGAGCGGCTTGCTAGACCACCTTCCCCTGTTGCTGAAAAAACCGAAGAAGCCCCCATCCTCACTTTGGACGATCTGTTCAGGAAAACAAGAGCCACCCCTCGGATATACTATCTACCCCTGACAGACGAGCAAGTATCCAGAAAGGTGAACGAACAACAAAGGAACAAGTAGACTTGCATTAGGTGGAGTATAATGATCATTTGGGAATGCAATAATAACTTCACCATTTGAGGCTGAAGGCTCAAAATCTGTTCCTAATTAGATTAGTTGTGTGGACTTTATAGACTAATAGACACAAAGTTATATCAGTCAACTGTGAACTCTTGTAGTAGTATTTTTATTTTTAGTTTTGAACTCCATGAATCCTTTGAACAGATTGCTTTTAGGAGGTTTATGGACAACTCTGTAACTCTGTAATCTTGATTCTAGTTTGTATTTTGTAAGATATTCAACTTATGCTTGTAGTTTCATCCTTATGCTACTTTCATTCTAGCCGTCCTCTACACTACATGATTAAACACAAATGCTAGACTTCTTCTAATACTCTTTACTACGGAGTAATTAATTACTTTGTAATTGTTGGGGTTATGGGTTATGGTCCATGCTTGAAGGAATTTACTCATTATATACTCAGATAATGGTTGCGGGTCAGCTCTACTCATTTTCTCTTATTTTATGTTTTTTTCTTTAGACCTCCGGATCCAAAATTTAACCGTATTTTTTTTAATAGATTAATTGTATATATACTCATCATATCGAGTAGGAAAAGTGAGAGGGACTCCTTGTGTATAGTAAGTAAAAATTTAGTATCTGTATTCAGCTGAGTTACTATGATTTACATCCTCTCAAATGCTCTGTCGGGTCGGGGCGTGGTGGGCCCTTAGAGTTGGGCCTCTGTGTTCAACTGAATAACTGAGTTATTATGATTTACATCATCCGAAATGCTCTGTTCGGCCGGGACGTGGGGCCCTTGGAGTTGGGGATTCAACCTTTTGGAACAAGAAGGAAAAAAAAAAGGCCCAAACATGCATCAACCCGGTCCATTATCAGATTGTTATTTTGCCGTGGCCCATTTCCTTTTTCATAAGAGGCACGTGAATTACACATGCAATGGTAAAACCCTAATCAGTCACCCCATTTTATCATCTTCATAGCACCAAACCCTAATATCCCCTTCCCCAGTTCCCCTAACCTCGTCGCGGCAGATCTCTTCGCGTCTGTAGTCATTGAAAATGGTGACCACCGGAAAGAAGACTGTAAGTTCAGCCACCTATCTTCCCTCATGCTTTCTTTTGATATGAATCGCTTCGGCTTTTGTTTTTCAGTCTGAATATGTTTGTATGTAAACTAATTGAATGGAATATTGGAAACGGAATTGCAGAAGAAGACCCATGAGAGCATTAACAACAGATTGGCTCTGGTGATGAAGAGCGGCAAGTTTACACTTGGGTACAAGACTGTTCTCAAGACCCTCAGGAGCTCCAAAGGTGCGACCTTTTTAATTTTGGCTGCATTTTTGTTTTTGTTTTTTGTTTTTTGTTTTTTGTTTTTTGTTTTTGGTTTAAAGATCAGTTTTAATGTGTCTTTTCTTCTAACTTGTTCCTTTTATGGATCCAACAGGAAAGCTCATATTGATTTCCAACAATTGCCCACCTCTGAGGAAGTCTGAGATTGAGTACTATGCTATGCTTGCTAAGGTTGGGGTTCACCATTACAATGGAAGTAAGTGAACCTTAAAGTTAGAAACTTTTTTGCTTTTAGCTGGCGTTTCCAACTGTTGCTGTTTGATCAATATGGTCTAGAGGTGATTGTCCATGAAATTGAATAATGTGTGATGACAGGAGGTTGTTTTTTGGGGCAGTACTTAGAATCTCTGATTCTTATATTATGTGTATGGCTGGTGTTATCATGTATCTATAACCCCGACATTTGGTCCAATTTGATAATTGACTTGGGCTAAGTGCCCTGATTCTGGTTAACCACAAGGTGTTGTTACCTCATTACGCGGTTTCTACTTGCTCAGGCATAGAGTTTGGTGTTTTGTTTGTTTGATAGTATATAGGGAAATGTTTTTGCTGTGATTGATTTGCCTGATGTATTGTCTAGTGACTATCAAGTAATATTTGTGCTAGGCTTTAAATTTGCTGCTGCAATCTAATGAGATGTTCTTGATTCTCTGTTTGTGTGTGTAGACAATGTTGATCTGGGTACTGCTTGCGGAAAGTATTTCCGTGTGTCTTGCCTTAGCATCGTTGATCCAGGTAATTCTTTTCTGCTTTCTTGGTCATGAAATCTCAAAGACCACTAAAATTGAACATCAGATGTGCTTAAAGTGTTGATTTCGATCTTTCAGGCGATTCGGACATCATCAAGTCTCTGCCCTCAGAGCAGTAATAGATCAATACCATCCAGCAAAGTAGAACCATGTTTTCCAGGATTACGTTATTCCAACTGTTGTTCTTTAATGCCAAGAACTGGAAGATCTTTTGAATGCTAATTATCGACGAATTTTGTTTCTTTCTTTTCAAGTTTGAGTTTGAGACTGGATAATAGATGAATTCAGTATTATATTTTTCATTCTTCCCTCTATATCGTTTTATTTGGTTTCCACTGTGAGGATGGCTGTGATGTTTTCATATATCTATTCTTATATGAGATGCTTTAACCTTTGGCAAAAATCTTGTCTGAGATTGTCTCATGAATCCTTATCTGTAAAATGGGTTAGGTCAAGATCACTTTTTTGCCTTGCAGAACTACACTAAAAAACTGATATGAATCTTTATCCTCGACCCGTCTCACAGATATGAATCTTTATTTTCTTGTTTAACTGATAAAATTGAGCCAATCATCTTGTTTAACTCATAAAATTAAGTCATAATGCACATTGAGTCTTTATCATCTTGTTTATCTAATAAAACCAAGTCATAATACACTTAATAGAAAACATAATTCATATTCTTATGTCTTAGTACAATTCAAGGTTTTGGTCATTCTACATGTACCCATGTAGTAGATCAATACAATGATCAAGAACAAGGTCATTAGAGGAAATCAGTATGGAATAAGTACATTTTTTTTTTCTTCATATTATTTTTAGACTATAATATCAACTTTACATTCATAAACAACTTACCAAATTTGTGAATTGTGTAGAACCTCGGTTACTCTAACATTCCAACAACATCATTCATGGTAGGCCTGACCTTGCGATCCTCACTCACGCACATGGTGGCGATAGCAAAATAGTTGATGACATCGTTTTCCGGCAAACTCTCTCTTGAAAGATTAGGATCGACCATTTCTATGTATCGTTTTTGTGACACCATATTTGTGACCCATTCGACTAGGCGAATCTCGTGTCCGTCTCCTCCTACAAATGGGAAATTAGGTCGTCGTCCCGTGGCAATTTCTAGCATCAGTACTCCGAAGCTATAGACGTCGCCCGGCGTAGTTGCCATCATGCATCCGTAAATGTATTCTGGCGGCATGTACCCCATTGTCCCAGCCACTTGCGTTGAGACGTGCGAGTGAGATCCTTCCATTTGCCTGGCCAATCCGAAATCTGCAATGTGAGCTCCGAACTCGGCATCCAGTAAAATGTTGCTAGCCTTGATATCCCTATGTATAATTGGAGGGTCCAATGTGTGCATGAAGGCTAGCCCCCTAGCAACTCCTTGGACAATCTTAATCCTAGTTTCCCAATCCAAAAGCTTGGGACATTTGGTTGTCTCCGCCACGTCATACACCATCGATGACATGTCGTAAAGCCATTGGTCAAGACTTCCTTTTGCCACAAACTCATATATAAGGATCCGGTCCGAACCGGCGGCGCAGTAACCCAAAATCTTGACGATATTCGGGTGTTGAATCTTTCCCAAAGTCTCCATCTCCGCCCGGAACTCACGGAACCCCTGAAACGCGTCGGGGGCGAGCTTCTTGACGGCGACGGTGTCGCCAGAGGAGAGCTTCGCCCGGTAGACGAGGCCGAAGCTGCCGTCGCCGATGATGAGATCCGGCGAGAAGTCCCGGGTCACGCGGACCAGCTCGCCTATCTCGATCCGGGGCAGTGCCGGGTCAAACGTGGCGCTCTCGCCGACGGTGATGGAAGAAAGCTCGGTTGCAGGGGCGGTCCTGGCCCGCGGCGGCTGCTGGCGGCGCGTGTGTTTCTTGGGGTCTTTGCAGAGCGCGTAGATGACGGCGAAGATAATAGTCATAAATAGAAAGCTGCCGGTGGCAGCTAAAAGGGCTTGCAGTGCAGGCTCCATAGATCAAGAAGATGAATCTATAGATACAGCTTCACGTACATATACTCACAGAATTGTTTGGTATACTGGAAGAGAGAAGAAGGGGAGATAAAATGATGGAAATTGTAATGGCAGGCATTAAGGGAAGAAGACTTGTTGTGTGTCCCCATAGCGTAGACTGAGGTTCGTCGTCAACGTTTGGCAGAAATCATGAAACATTTTTTTTCTCTTTGTTGTTGGGAAAATATTTGTTCTATTTCTCTCTCTCTCTCTCTTTCTATATATATATATATATATAGTGAAAGGTTCCCGGATGAATGCTTCCCGTGCGGATGTGTGGTGGATTAATATGGGTGAGATTTGTACTCAAATGTGCGTGAGTGTTGTGCTTAATGTGCCTGAGATTTGTACTTAAATGCGTGAATGTGTAAAATGCAGCAGAAAATATTGATGCATGTCAGCTTCTTCCCCATCCCCAGTAGCCATTGTCCCCCAGCAGAAAATATTGAGTACAAATCTTACGCACATTAAGTATAAACCTCGCACATTAATCCACCGCACAACCGCACGGGAAGCCACAAATGCACCTGATCCCTTCGCTAATATATATATATATATATATATATATATATATATATATATATATATATATATATATATATATATATATAAAATGACACTTTTTCCCCCTGAGTTATATACCTATAGTATATTTTCCCTTTAAATTATTGAAGTGGTGTTTTTCCCCCTGAAATGTTAAATGGACATATTTACCCTTAAACTAAATATTTAATTTATTTTTTTTCCAACAAATTATAACCATAATTTGGTTCAAACCAAACAAACACTATAGCAACCAAACCGAAATATTCCAATTATAATTTAGAATCGAAATTCGATATTTAGAGTTTATTAAAATCGTGAACCGAAACGGACGGTTCATGTTCCGAACTGAAAAAATAAAATACATTTATTGTTGAATTTAGACTATTTTAAAATAAAAAATAAAATTTTAAAATAAAGACGGTTCAAAATCGCGAATCAGATCTGGAACCGCCGATTCACGGTTCAAGATTCAATTTTTTTTGATACATAATTTTAATAAATTGACATTTAAATATTGGGTTCTAGATCTGAATTATAACCGAAAACTATTAATTCGATTGTTTTAGTATCCGGTTCAATTCAAACCGAACCGTGGTCATCCCTACGTATACGCAATAATTTGTTGTAGTAGTAAAATAAATAAAATGTTTACTCTAAGGGTATAAATGTCAATTTAATATATTATGGGGAAAAAGCACCACTTTTAGAATAATTGAGGGTGCTAATGTGCTTACCTAAATAATTGAGGGGAAAAAAGTGCTATAAGTATATAACTCAAGGGTAAAAAGTGTCATTTTTCCTATATATATATATATATATATATATATATATATATATATATATATATATATATATATATATATATATATATAAAAGTTTAAAGTGCCTAAGTGTAAGTTTATAGGGTTAGGTATGTAGTTAAGTTTAAAGTTTGAGGTACTTAAATTTATAGTTTAAGGTAGGTAAGTTTATAGCTTAAGGTGCGTCTGTTTGACAGTTAAGGTGTATCAATTAACATTTAGATGCATCAATTTGACACTTAAGTGCGTCAGTTTGATACTTAAATGCATTAATTTTATACTTATAGTGCATAAGTTATATATTTAAGGTGTGTCAGTTTAACACTTAAGGTACGTCAATTCAGGGCCGTCCCTGGCCATGTCTGGCCAGGGCCAGCGCACAGGGCCCCCAAATTTTGGGGGCCCCAAATATTAAATACGTAGTATATATGTTCATTGTGCCCCCAAATTTTGGGGGCACTTTTATTAAAAAAGAATTATTATTTTATATTTATATTTTATATATTAGTGTAGGTGTAATTTATGTATAAAGAAATCAAGATGGTCTAAAATTTTAAAAAGTTTATATTCCTAATTCTTAAGGATTTGATTTACGTATAGAGTTATAGTCCTATAACTTATAGGAATTGAGGCGGACCTATTTGATTATTATAAAAATTATTATATATAAAGAGTAAAAAATTACTCTTATTCCTATTATAATGCATACACGCAAGATTTGTATTCACAACGCAAGAATTCGGTCTCAGTAATCATTAATTTGAAGTGCGTTGTTTGTGCATTTGGCATCCTCCATTTTTCTCTTCGATCTTCACGATAAAAGGATGAAGGTATGTAAATAATTAAATATTTTAATTCTTTAATTTTATTCAAAATTTTAAAATTATTAATTCAATAACTAACCCTAGCTAGGAATTTTTTTTTATTGGTGAGTAACAATATAATTTCTTGTATTTTGATACTACAATTGCAATATCAATTAGTCTTGACTATTTTCATTACTGTTGAAATCTACTTATGATCAACTATATTGTAAAAAAGGCTCAATGAATTGGTGAATAATTTTACATCTAAATATGGCCGAAGAAAAAGAAGAATGTCACTTTTCAAATGAAATTTTAAATAATAAATTTTTTATAGACTATTTTATATTTTGATACAATACAATATATCTTTTATATATTTACAATTATACAAAAAGGGGGCCAATGTTAATTTTTGTACAGAACCCCAATTTTCTTAGGAACGGCCCTGCGTCAATTCGACACATAAGATGTTTTAGTTTGGCATTTTAAGGTGCATTAGTTTTATTATTATTATTATTATTATTATTATTATTATTATTATTTGGTTGAGATTCTTGCATTTCCGGCCTTATTACCATTTCAAAATCATTAATTAATGGAAAGGGTAGGGTAGGAATGTATGGTTATGTGAGCTGTCTAAAATGGATTAGACTACGTTTATATGACTGAAAATTGAGTATACTACTAATGTAAACAACCTATTAATTAAACATAATATTGATCATGTTTTGTTTTCCCACGTTATGCATGTATAAATTGTACAACCTTTATTCTCAAAAATAAAAAATAAAAAAATGTACAAATAAATACAAAATATGTGAATTATATTTACATGTTATGATAAATGGATTTACACCAATATGATCTTTTGCTATATTTACATACTATTCTACACACATAATATAATAATAACTAATAATATATATGTTGAGAGTAAACACCCAGTTCATCTAGATGTTCAATTTTTTTTTTTTTTTTTTTTGGACATTAGTTATCATAACTAATCTAGCATAAGTACTCATCACATCCCAATGGATAAGAGGACGAATGCAATAACTAATGAGGGCAACCGGATTGAATTCTTTCTAAGTGGTTTATAGAAATTATTTACACCGACTTTTTATTACGCTTATATACTATTGAGGATGCCCTTATGTAACGTTTTACACACATTGAGTATGGCCTAATAATCTATAATTTGTGAGTCATTTAGAATGCCTTCTCCAACATCCCAATAACATCGTTCATGGTAGGTCTAGTGTCGGGAGGCATATTCAAACAGCGTGAGGCAATAGCAAAGTACTTGATGACATTTTTTTCTGAAAAATCTCCTCTTAAAATATTAGAATCAATCGTTTCTATGTATCGCTTTTGTGACATCATATTAAAGACCCATCGATTTAACTTAACATCACGTCCATCTTCTCCTCTAAATGGGATATTAGGTTGTCTTCCCGTGACAATTTCCATCATCAGTACTCCGAAACTGTAGACGTCACCCAACCTAGTTGCCTTTGTGCAACCCTCTTTGTATGCTGGCGGCATGTAACCCATTGTCCCAGCCACTTCCGTCGAGATGTGTGAGCGAGATTCTCCCATTAGCCTAGCAAAACCAAAATCTGTAATAAGAGCTTTAAATTCAGCATCCAATAAAATGTTACTAGCCTTGATATCTCTATGTATGATCGGAGTGTCCAATGAGTGCAGGTAAGCTAGTCCCCTAGCAACGCCTTGGACAATCTTAATCCTAGTTTTCCAATTTAAATGCTCTCCAGGTTTTCTTGTCACCGCCACGTCACGTATTGATGACGACGTGTCGTAAAGCCATTGGTCGAGACTTCCATTCTCCACAAACTCGTAAATAAGAACCAGGTTCGAACCCGCGGCGCTGTAACCCAAAATCTTGACTACATTCTCGTGTTGGATCTTCACCAGAGTCTCCATCTCCGCCCGGAACTCACGGAAACCCTGGAAAGTGTCGGGGGACAGCTTCTTAACGGCGACATGGACGCCGGAGGAGAGCTTGGCCCGGTAAACCACGCCGAAGCCGCCGTTGCCGATGATGAGATCCGGCGAGAAGTCCCGGGTCGCGCGGACCAGCTCCCCCATGTGGATCCAGTTAAGCGTGCCGCTCTCGCCAACGGTGACGGAAGAAAGCTCGGTAACCGCAGGGGCGGCCCCGGGCGGCTGCCGGCGCCGCGCCAGTTCCTTGCGGCATTTGTAGACGACGGCGAAGGTAAGAATCAGAAATAAGAAGAAGCCGCCGAACGCAACCAAAATGCATTGCAGTGAGGGCTCCATAGCTCTTTAATTTCAAACCGAATTGAACTAAAATTTGAAATTGGATACTTTCATTTCAAAATCGAAACAGTGCAAAGCAACAATCAAGAAGATAGGAAAGGTATTATTACTTGATCGAACTGTAATTCACACAGATCAGATCAGATCAGAGTGAATATAATGGCCGGAGAGAGGTAGGTGGGTTTATATAGGCACTGGCCACTGGAAGCAAAACAAACGCGTGCGATCACGGCCGGGCGTTCACATTTGAAATCACTGGAAAGAAGTCTTTGCATTACTCACAAAGAAGCTACCAAGTAAAAGAGAGGAATTGAGAAGGCAGCCTGAGGGTCGTCGTCAACTTGAAACTTTCTTTTTTTTAAAAAAAAAAAAAAAGAGCATAACAATATGAGACATCATTAAATCCGTATCATAATTAGAGTAACCATGTTACGTTGAAATTTCTTTTTAAAAAAAATTACTTAAATTTGGGCAAAATAAGACCCACAATATTAATAAAAAAAATACAACGTATATCTAAACTCATCAAGGTGACTAAGGGGGGTGTATTCAATCATGACTTTTGTAGAGTTTTAAAGACTTTTAAAATGATAGATTTTAATAAACTTTGATTGACTTTCATAAAATCGTTCAAAACTTTTTAAAACTTTTTAAGACTCTATAAAAGTCTATATAAAAAACATTCATAGACTTTTATCAATTTTTTATTTTAAAAAGTCTACAAAAGTCATTGAAATTCTAAATTGAATACATCATTACAAACATTCAATGATTTTGATTCTTATCATTTACAATTTTTTTACAAAACATTTATAATATATCATAAAATTCTTCTTATTATATAGTTTTTCACCCACATCAACATTCTCAACATTATTATTTTTATCCGTAGTATGCTGAGACTTATATGCTAATTACTTATATATAAAATTTTACGATAAAAAATTGCTTTGTTCATGTATTTAGGGAGAATTAGAGAAAGTTAGGGATAAAAAATTCATAGAAAAAAATAAAAATCAATATAAACAAGCAATAATGAAGTAAAAATAATATTGTTTCAAATTTTTAGATGAAGATTCTAAAGTTTATGAGAGAGAGAAAAATTGGTAGAGTTTAGGTATGAGGAAAATATAGGATAATGAAGAAAAAAATAATTTTATTGAATTTAGATAGGTTTATAGAGTTTAAATAAAGAGAGAAAATATTCAAAGTTGTTAGAAAGAAAATTTGAAATCTTGGGGTTGATGGTTGGATTTCAACTATTTATATTTGAGAAGGAAAAGTCTACAAAAGTCTTAAAATTAAAAAGTCTACAAAAGTTCATAACTTTTTGAATACCACATGACTTTTAAAGACTCTTTAAAAGTCTTAATCGAATACCGCACGACTTTTAAAGACTCTTTAAAAATCTTGATTGAATACCGCCTGACTTTTAAAGACTCTTTAAAAGTTTGAATTGAATACCTCCAAACTTTTAAAGTTCATAAAAGTCTTTAAAACTCTATGAAAGTCATGATTGAATCCACCCCCCTAAATGAGGTGTCATTCAATTTTTATAAGATTTAGAGCAATCTCAATCGTAGCAATTTTTTCTCCAATATTTTGTAAGTCTTAACATCCACCTTAGCATCTATTATTTTGCTCAATCTCAAAAACATTTATTCCCAATAGTTTAAACCCAATGCACCAATTTATAAAAACTATATTCTAATTATTTATTTATTTGTTATCATTCTAAATATTATAATTGTAATTATAGTTATTATTTATGTTTAAATTAAATATGTCAAAAAGAAATTTGAAAGCAAATATTTCGAAATTTAATTCAGTTGATAATTATAAAATTTAAATTCAAATAATATGTTATTGAAAAATTTTAAAAGAAAAAAAAAAAAAAAAAAAAAAAACAATGCGCTAACTGGTGGCCACTCCAAACCACCCAATGGGCGCATGCGTGAGCTTAAGCACGATTATACCTTCCCCTCCTCGAAAAAACAAACTTCACTTAATTTGAAGGCTAAAAACTCTCTAAAATCTCATTCTCCCATCAATAGAAATTACTAAAGCATCAAGGGGTCGTTTACTAACTGAAAAATGAAGAATTTTCAAAAAAAAAAAAGAAGAAATTGAGAAGTGAAAAAATGAAAAAATGGAAAACTGGTTTACTAAAATCATCCTTCCAATTGTCCAACTCTTCTCCATTTTCCAAGTCTATGTATAATTTTGGAGAAATCCAATTTTGACTTCTCCAAATGGAGAAATTGGAGGAGATGCGGGTGAACAGTGAGTAAGAGTGGAAGGTCGAGCATTCAATTCTTGCTATACACACATTACTAAGTAGTTTTGTTTCCTTCTTTCCTTTCCTTTCATCATTTCCTTTCCTTTCCTTCTTTTCCTTTGCTTTCGTTTAACTTATTTAATACTTTTGATTTAAAATTCAAACTACTTTGTTTTACCTACATATAATTAATAGAAATCTTTTAGGAATTTTGAGTTTTAAAGTTTAATATACATATATATATATATATATATATATATATATATATATATATATATATGTATGAGTTAATACCATTTGAGGTCCTCCGAGTATAGTGATTTTGCCACGTTTAGTCTTAAACTTTCAAATCGACCATTTGTGGTCCTTCGACTTTCAAATTTAACCATTTGTGGTCCAAATTAACCACCAATGGTCCTTCAATTATTAAATTTTGACCAACCATGGTCCTTTTAAGAGGACTACCACTGGTTAAATTTCGAAACTTGAAGGACCATGAGTGGTTAACTTGGACTATGAATGGTTAAATTTGAAACTCGAAGGACTACAAATGGTCAATTTGAAAGTTTAGGACTAAACGTGGCAAATCCACTATAATCGGAGGACCTCAAATGGTATTAACTCATATATATATATATATATATATATATATATATATATATATATATATATATATATATATATATATATATATATATATATATATATTATGGCTCGACGAGTCACGAGCCTAGAATATCTAGACTCGGCTCGAGCTCGATACCGAACTCAAGCGCGAGCGACTCGACTTATTTACACTCCTACCTCCAACTAATGAATTTTAAGTTAAAATGGTAATTCGTTAAATTTGGTGTTAAGTAAGTGTTAAAATAAATAATAAAAAGAACATTTTCTATTTTTCTATTGTTTGTTGTTTGGAGCTTTGACCTGCCCATTACACTCCTAAATTAGTGAAAACATTTTCCCCAAGCGAAAATCACAATTTGGGAAGGAAGGGAAAAATCGCAATTAGCTAGGAAGCGACATGTAACTTCCTAGAAATTGAGCATGCCCATATCACTTAAAGATCATGTTAATCGCACTCAAATGAATTACAATTGATTATTCGGTTAATAATATTTTCAATGTTTCATCCCAAATAGTACGATATAGGAGGAAATTGTGATTAATATAAAATGTCATGTAAAAATTAGAAAAATATATCAATTGCATATATTTTACTTGTTTAATGGTTAATTGTATACTTTATAAGTTCAATGACTCAATTGTATAGAAGCGATAAGTTTTTTTTTTTTTTTTTTTTTTTTTTTTGGGAAGCACAAAGAGTCCATATACTACTAGAACTCATGATTTTTCATTTGGAAGAGCAACCACTAAACCACAAGGTTATTGGCCACACCTAGCCATAATGATTGCTATGTAGACCATAAATAAAAAGTACTCCGTACATTTTTAATATAATAAAAATATATTATTTGAGTACTAAAAGTACATTATTTATATATATATTATAAAATAATACTTTAGTATATTAAAAATGTACATGATATTCATCGTCCACACAGCTATGTAGACCATGGTCCACACAATAATTTGCTTATCACAATGAGTTGTCATTTGGTCTCTATAAGATTTAGATCAACCTTAACACTTGTAGCTTTTTCTCTAATTTTTTTGTAGGCCTTCACATCTATTATTCCGTTCAATCTCAAAAACATTTCTTCTCCAATAGTTTAGGTTTTTCTAAATTTTTTTTATAATCCCACCAATTTAAAAAAATCATATTAAAATTATTTCATTATTTAAATAAATACATTGCATAAAATTTTAAAAATTTAATAACAAAATTAAATAACATGAACTCTGGGATTCGAACTTATATATTGCATTTTGCATTGAAATTACTCAATAATTATGTTTATCACTTTTGACATAAAAAGCCCACACTTTACAGTTTAGACAATTAGATGGTTAGGAATCATTTTGAAGATTCAAACATCGAAAACGAAAGGAATTAATAACAATCATAAATTTATAATAAACTTGGTCAACCATGATTAAATGATGTATTAATAATATATAGTCAATAAATTACAAATTAAACTAACGTGCTAGCTACAACATTTCATTTCACTTGGACAATTCTAGCCGTACTGCGTGACATTAAATACCATTTAATATTATTAGTCATGCGTGATAAACATGCCTGCAATCCAAACCACTCAATTTAGCTAATTACTCTTTTTTGTTTGAATTAAAATTATTAGAATAAGTGAGGGCTTGTTAGATAACAAATTCGGTTCTCTGTGAAAATTAAGTATAAATATTTTTGATTTGATCTAATAGGTGAATTTTACTCATAATTTGTATGTTTTTATTTTTATTTTTATTGGCAATAATGACTTTGAGATCATATGCTTAGTTTTCTAAACATGGGTGCAGTTGGACAACTAATCTATACTTTGAAAATTTTGGGGGTAGGAAGTGTAGATCCCATATATTATAGAAGGAGTTAATACCCAAAATCGTCCTCGACTATAGTGGTTTTTCTCAATTTCGTCCTAAACGACTTTGGTGACCTAATATCGTCCCAGACTTTTGTGTTTCGCTCAATTTAGTTCTAGACTTTTGTGTTTTTACTCAATTTAGTCCCTCATTTGTTATTCTGTCCATTTGGTGTTAAATAAATAGACAATTCAGTAATTTTAATATTGGCATATCTTTACTCATAGACATATGAACTGCGAAATCTTTTTTTTTTTTTACGAATTACTCCCAGAATTACTCCTAAAACTGCGAATATAAAATTTGATTTGCAGGTCCGGGAGTAATTCTGGGTGTAATTCGTACAAGAAAGAGGAATTCCGCACTTCACAAGTTGAAAGTAAAGAGAGATCAATATTGACATTACTGAATTGTCCCTTAATTTAACACCAATTTGACGGAATAACAAATGGAGGACTAAATTGAGCGAAACACAAAAGTCTGGGACGATATTAGGTCACCAAAGTCGTTTAGGAACCACTATAGTCGAGGACGATTTTGGGTATTAACTCATTATAGAAGTTACATTTAGAAAATAGGGATTGAAAACTATTATTTTTCATTATTAAATTAACTCTTATCTTCTATAATAAAGAAACATATTTATTTGTATTGACAGCTTAGCTTGTAGAATAGTTTATCCAATCATCATACTTTAGTAAAGGGTTTATGCATAATAAAATACAAAAAAAAAAAAAAAAGAATTTATGAATTGGATGCATTATAATTTAGTAAAGAATTCACATGATTGATAAGGGTTATAGAACATTTTAATTGAATCAATAATTCAAAATCTAGGAGATAAGTCCAAGGACCCAAACATTTTCATATACCCGATTAATTGACGGGTCTAAGGCCATCCACATTTATGGATATTTCACATTTTATAAGAAATAACTAGCCAACTTGGCAGAGAGAGAAACATGAGAGAGAAGAATGAGGTCCCCTCTACAAGAGACAAAATATTGGCAGGACGTGGGTCCCAACTTGACAGTGAGGCAGCCGCATCAGAAGCTTGTGAGTGTCACAAGTGCACCCAGCGGGCGCGTGCAGTGCATGCGCTCGCTGGACGCGTCAGGCGCACTGACAGCACGCCTGACAGGCTAACAGTGACCTTTTAAAAAAATCAAATTTGTTTTATTTTTTTCTCTTCTCTCATACTTTCTCTTTCCTAATCACACTTACAAAAACTCATCAAAAACCGCAACGGAAATAAACTACTATTGATGCTCTAACTAGCTCCAAGAGATTGGTCGGTACACATAGGATTCGTAGGCTTGGGGGGCCACTTGATAGGCTTGACGGAAAGCATGGGTCAATTGCGTGTTTCCCTCTCTCAATGAAAGTGGCCCACATTAGCCCCACTTGTCACCAGTAGTCACGTCGGTGATCAACACCTTAGTATATATAACGCATTACTGTCGGGTTATAGATAAGATCTGATTCACTATTATTTACTACAATAAGCTTTTGCTTTTGCAAACACTACAATCAGTCAGCCTGCTCTTGACCTCTCCAAATCGACGGATAAAATAATATCAAGTCCATTTATATTCAATCAATTAATACATTCTCATCTCCTAATCTATACTCTTAATAGTGTAATCCTAAACCCCTACACTACCTAATTTGCATTACCTAAGGAGAAGAAAATCTTTGAAATGATGAGGTAGGATGGGCACCATTACTCAAGGTCAAGTCTTTATTTTCCATTAAAACATTCCAATTAACCCAAACACGCCCCAACTCCCTCTCCAGCCTACACTGTATATCTGTGTATACAAATTGAAATTCCAGAGAAGCCCATTGAACATCCCTTATTTACACTCATTGCCATCCAATCACTCCAATCGACTGCTGAATATACTGAGATTCGTTCCCTCTCCGTGTCTGCGCGTCTGGGTCGACGAGGGATTGAGCTGAAGAAGAAGAAGAAGAAGGGAGATGGATAGTTTCAAGCTTCAAGTCGTTCAACTGCTTTCCGGGTTGACTTGAGAGAGACAGAGAGAAAGAAAGGAGGGGACGCTTGAAGCTGTGGCGTGCTCATGGCAAAGCGCGTCTTCGAAGTCTGGAAAGGGAGCAATGTGAGGATTGTCTGCGCATGTTCTTTCTTTTTTGTTGTGGTTGAGATTTTGTTTGTTTACTTGGTTTTGTCGTCTGGGTATGCTTTGAATTTCGCTAATTTTGGGTTAATTTTAGTGCGTCTCGTTTGATTTCTGGATTGGTTCCTGCTGCCAAGTATCTTCTTGCTATCGTTTTGTGGATGCTGGACTTAACTAGATTCATTATGAGCCTTGAGCTTGCTGTTATCATATCTTTCCAAATGAATTAAACTCAAGTTAGTTTGGGCCGATTTCTTGCCCACAATCTAAACCAACTGAGCTGATTTCTTACTTATATTACCAGTTGCCACTTAGTTTGAGGTGTAGTACAGATATATAATATTTGGCTCTTTTATATGTATGTCATCTCTTTTGGAGTTTTGGTGGATGATGGAGGAAGGTTGCAGGTGAAATTTTATTATGGTGTTGTGTTTTCTTGACTGTGTATTGGGGCAATTCTTTTCTCTAACATTTTGCTATTTGGAATAATTTGTGATTGCTAGGACACTATTTTTGTTGAGCTCTCTGCATTTTCAATAATTAAATTATGTATTGCGAGCGATTAGTTCAAAGATGCAAGGTTGGTTATAGTGTGATTGCAACTTCTATGAAACTGTTGAGTGATTAGAATGGTGAAGTTTTAATTTTGAGGTGCTTGATACGTTTTTGTAACGTGTTGTTTGTATCTTGTGCAGAAGTTCTTTCTTGGTGGAAGGTTGATATTTGGGCCTGATGCGAGGTCGTTGCTTGTATCTTTTCTCTTAATCACGGTACCTGTCATTATTTTTTGTGTCTTTGTTGCAAGACATCTTCGCCATCAGTTTTCACCACATAACGCTGGATATGCAATTTTGGGGGTAGCAATTGCCTTTACCATTCATGTAAGTCCGACTATTAATTATTTGGAATTAACTATAACATGTTGTGTGCGTTTGTTTTTGTCGTTCATTGTGTGTATGGACTGTGTAGTTTTCGTGATGCTTATACATCCTAAGATAATTTCTTGTATTGAATTTGGCCGATTTTTCTTTTTTGCTCACTAGTAACATGATATTGGATTCATCTGACATTCTTCCAGACTTTCACCTCTATGACCAGTTGAGCTACCCATGCGGGCAAACCTTAGAGTAAGCTAAGTGTAGCCTAGGGGATTCGAACCCAAGACCTCCCCTATCCAATTACGCTGTGGCTTAGATGATAATTATTTTTATTTTTATTTTTATTTGTAGGTATTGGCTCTACTTCTGCTTACATCAGCTCGGGATCCTGGCATTGTTCCACGCAATTCGCATCCACCTGAGGAAGAGCTTCGCTATGACACCTCAGCATCAGCAGAGATCGGTGGAAGGCAAACTCCAAGCCTTCAATTCCCTCGAATAAAGGATGTAATTGTTAATGGAATGACTGTCAAGGTAAAATACTGTGATACCTGCATGCTCTATCGGCCTCCTCGCTGCTCTCACTGCTCCATCTGCAACAATTGTGTTGAGCGTTTCGATCATCACTGCCCATGGGTTGGCCAATGCATAGGATTGGTATGTGTGTGGCATGACATTCAGAAACTTCACGTTTCTTTGATTTTCGTAATTTTTTTTTTGTTTGTTTTGTTGTTTACATCTATTTGTGTGCACGTAAAGTTCCATCTAGCAACTTGTTAATTTCCCGTTTTGATTATGCAGCGAAACTACCGTTTCTTCTTTTGTTTCGTTTCATCTGCAATGCTTCTCTGCATCTATGTTTTTGCCATCAGCGCTTACTACATTAAGGTTCTGATGCACGATAACCAGAGCACAGTATGGAAGGCGATGAAAGAATCCCCGGCATCCGTTATTCTAATGGCTTATTGTTTTATTTCCTTGTGGTTTGTTGGTGGACTCACCGGTTTTCACTTGTACCTCATCAGCACAAATCAGGTCAGTAATTTTTCTCCCAGTTTTCTTGATCGTAGGATTTGTCTCAGTTTTTATAATCAGTAAATTTAGTTGAAGATCCCTCGAGTGTTGCAAATAGATAATGCTGAGATGCCCAGCGTGGCTACTTGTTATTTAATGAGCTCGTCTTCTAAATTGCAGACAACCTATGAAAATTTCCGGTATGGAGGTAGCAGAAGACACAACGTTTATGACCGAGGTTGTTTGAATAACTTCTTTGAAGTATTTTGCACAAAAGTAAAGCCTTCACGAAACAACTTCCGAGCTTTCGTACAAGAGGTGCCACAAAGACCGTCTATGCCCACAGCTCGGGAGGTCGACTACGAGGAAATGGGCGAGGATCGACGTGCAAAAGTAGAGGACGATCTAGACTTTGGCGGGGACCTTTTAAAGATCTCGCAGCGTCATAATATTGGAGATATTGAAGCAGACATTCGTAGCCGAGGGAGTGATCGTGATGGGCCCCACAATAACTCTTCGGACGCTGATTCTGTTCTCAACTCAGATAGGCGGCCCGCAACCGCCACCCAGTCGGACACACGGCAATCGAGTTGGGGAAGAAGCGGGAGTTTGGAAATCGCGCAGGATGGTGTTAATAGGAACTCGGATTTTCACTGAGGGCAAAGGGGGAAGCGTATATCGATGAGAAGTATCGTTTTTGGTGTATGGTTTTGAAGGAAATGTGGCATTGATAGGACTCAAGTTCACTGATATGGAATCAAATCTTACTTTTAGGGTACACTGTGTGCTATAATTTTCTTTCATCATTTTCCCTGAACTTCACAGTAGCTGTTATATATTTGTTTGCTTGAGGAGCCATGAATAGGGTATGCATGCATGGTTGTAATAGATTAGAATGGCAGCATTTATACTTTTCTTGAACTTCATTTTCTGGTGTTCATGCCTGGTTGATTTGTGGAACTGTCTCTTTTACAGATTGATTTTTTTGAAGGGTAATGGAATCTCAAGTCTTAAGCTTGTGTTTATTGTTAGTAATTTGAGGAACCCATACAATTTATGTAACAAGATGGCAAAAGAATGGGGTGACACCAGATGTGTTGGTCGGTAGTTGGTTCGGTAATTATAAAGTTTCAAATTTCTTACATATAGTGGTGAATAATGTTGTAGAAGGTGTAGTCGGGCCACTCGGGTGCGGGGAGTACCTAGGCAGATGAATAATTGTAAGAATAAAACGGCAGTGGAATATGGAAGAAGAGCAGTCGAGCAGGTGACGACGTATATGCGAGGGAATTAAAGAAAAAATCACTTGGCCCAATTGGCACCCTGCTGGGTTAAGTTGGGCATCGAGGCCGCCTAGTCGGTTGACCAACTAAAAGCTGTGCTAGGGTTGAAATCCTCTTGACCTAGGGGTGAATGGGTGCCTAGATCAATTTTTACAATACTAAGGGAGAGCAATATATCACATAACCGCTAGAAAATCGAGAATCAAATTGATTGAAAATTTTGATTTTCGATCGATTTTGGTTATTGATTTTAAATTTCAATTATTTGGTATTTCGGTTGCCTAACAATTATTTGTCTTTGATTTCCGTCAGTGATATATTATTTACTTTCGATGATAGATAATTGGCATTAAAAATGATATGTAAATATCTCACACACATGGAATAATAGGATATTGGGAGAAGTCGAGAAGAGAATAATTATAGGATATTAAGATTTTTTAGTCAAAAATTGACCTTATAAATGGTTTATTTTAGACTTTTTGAAGTGTAATTATCAATTGGGGATTGGATTTGAAATTTTGTAATTTTGCATATGTGGGATTTTTAGCTATTAATTTAATAATATTGTTCTATTTTTTTAATAATCATAACCAACTAAAATCGGCATTTGATGTTTTGGATGGTTATATTATTTATTTTGGTCAATTATAAAGGTAAAAATTATTGATCATTTTTTAAATTTTTAGTTAGTTATGTAATTAATCGACTGTTTGCTTACCCTTAATTATATATTGACTTTCGTCAGAGTGCACTATTATATTTTCGATAATATTTTTTGTAATGAAAAATACCAATACATTTTCAAGTTAATAATTTTTTTTGTTAAAAATTAACCTATTGACTTCAGGTAACTAATTTAAAAAATTACTTTTTAAACTCCAATTTTATTATGTCTATAAAAAAAAAAAAAAAAAAAAAAAAAAAGCTCTTCAAAATTCTTCGCGGAACATGTATGCCAAAAATTATACAGCTCCAAAACGGCGACGTTTTGGGGATGTAATATATATATAATTTTTTTAATTTTATTTTTCTTATTTTACAGTTTAGATCGCAGATAGAACGCAAGCTAGTAGCCTCTCTTTCATCGCTTCTCGCTACTTCTCCCGTTCCTGCCTACCGGAGTTCCGGAGTACCGGCGTTCGCCTCGCCGCCTTACCGGTCAGAAAACCGCCTCAGTGCCTCTCGTCTCCTCTCAATACTAGGTTCCTATTTTTTCCTTAATTTCTCTAATTTTATTTTTGCCCTACTACGGCCTCTGAGGGTGGGGGATTAAGCGCGGAGAAGGGAGAAGTCGTAAGCTTTACCAGGTTCTCCAGATTCTAAAGCATGAAGCGCAGTTACTCAGAATCTCCATCTTCTAGCTCCTTTGGACCTCCTTCGTCTAAATTTAAACACAACCCACCAGGTGATTGTCAATTTGTTCGCAGGTGTGAGTTTACGGTATACATGTGCGCATTGTTTGCGTCCGCGATCAGTTTATTCACTTGTGAACTTGAGCTGGGGGGAATTCTTACTTCAATTAATCTTTAGCTGCTAAGCATTTATGTTGAATTGGAGTAATTCCGGGATTTTGTTTTGCATTATGAGGTAATCACTAAATTGACACTCATTGAATCTGGTTTTGCTCTAAAGATTGCAACTTGGATGAGAAAATTAGCTTCGTTTTGACAAAATAAGTAAGTGGATTGGTTGGAACTCCCTAGTGTCTCAGTATGAAAGTAGGTGATGTTAAGCCCATGGGGGATCTTATTAATTAAGACCATTCTGTTTTTGTTTATCATTGTGCCTGAGTGATATGGTTTTTGCATAAACTTTGCAGCTTTAGATACTTGATTTTGAATTAAATGATTTCTGCAGGTATTCTACTTAGAGAAACTGTGTTTATTTGGGTTTGGAAATTCAAGTGTATCTGTATTGTGATTAGGTGACTCTGAGTTTTTGGAGGATGAGAGTACAAAAATCTTTGCCAGGAAGGTTGCTGACCATTATAGTGCTAGGACCAACCAAACACTTGAAGAGCGGGAAGCAAGCCCCATTATCCATTTAAAGAAACTTAACAACTGGGTATGCATTTTGTTTTGGAAACATATATATGGATAAATAGATATGTTACTTGCCTATAGCTGGTGAGTTTGTTACGTTAGTGGATCATCAAGCAGTGGATATGATTCCTTAGTTTTAATTCATCTGTAGTTTGCTTTTTTAACCAGATCAAAAGTGTCTTAATTCAACTTTACACCAAAAGAGGGGATGTAGTTCTTGATCTTGCTTGTGGAAAGGTATTTTTATACTTGGTATTCCTAAATATTTGACGCTGTATATGCTGTCATGTATACTGCCTATATTACTCTATCACTGCTTGGCACAATCTCTTATTTTTCTTTTTATATTTTAACTAGGGCGGTGATCTTATTAAGTGGGATAAGGCAAAGATTTCATATTATGTTGGCATTGATATTGCTGAAGGCTCAGTAAGTGGCTATCCACTAAATTGCATGTTCAAGTTGTGTTTTGGTGCCAAATCAACATATGCATCTCTATTGTTAATCATGTGTAAAAGGTTTTGGTGCCACATAAAGTATCACATTGCGGGATGTGGTTTACAAGAAGACACGGACAAACCTCTTACTATTTCCCTTACTGTGATTATTCATTAGTGTCTGAATAATCTTAATCCAATGATCACAATCTGTATGATGGAGAATCTGGAATGATTTCTGCCACTAGTTTTAAGTAAAGCTTGAATGCTAAATAGTTTGTTGTCATGAAATGGATTAAATGATCAAGGGATTATATGACTATACTTTATATTTTAGAACCCTCCATACTGCTAGTCCTTTCTTAAGTGTTTACTCCTTCAAGTTCATATCATTTCCATCCAAGGTTTTCCAGACAATTCCAGTCAGTTACAATCTTCTAATAAGATTTCTTCTAATCTTTTCTATACATGGTTCCACATCCTGTAAGGGTTTTTGTCATTGGTAAGCCTCATGTCGAGAATCTAGTGTTCTGTAACATCTGAACTACCTTATGTGCCATTTTAATGATGCTTATGTTATGCTTAGTGCCCTTAATACCATGTTGATCATTAAATGCAGATTGAGGATTGCCGTACACGCTATAATGGTGAGGCAGACCATCATCAAAGACGGAAAAAGTTCTCTTTTCCAGCTAGGCTTATATGTGGAGATTGTTTTGAGGTAAATCAATACAATTGAACTACTTTTTTATGGATATTTCTATCCGTCTCTCATTTTATCCCCTACTAATCTGTATTCTATATGTGTCAAAGTTATATGGTTAAGATAATGTTCGTTTTGTTTTACATGCATTTTATCAATGCCATTAGATGCTATAAGAATTTAAATTAATCTCATGATGACTGATGCTAACCATTTGATTTGTTCATCTTATTTTGAGTTTCAGGTTCAGTTGGATAGAGCTTTGGCAGATGATATGCCTTTTGACGTTATTAGCTGCCAGGTTGGTTAATCTCCTGCAAACTGTGGGGCTACTAGTTCTTAAATTAGAGTGTTCTTATTGATAAGGGAGTGTGGTCGTAACTCTCATCACAAACAATTATAACCAATTAGTTATTGTCTGGTGTATGTGGCTAGCATTGTGTCATTATTGTGACTTCTTAGCAATCAAGAATTTTATACCGTGATGCTTAGATAAACAACAAGGGTGATCTCCTTCAAGTTTTGGGGATTTCATCTTATAAAGTCTGGATTTGTTGATGCAATCCTATCCTATCTATACATTGCTTTAAACGCTTTCATTTAGTGCAATGGGTGATAAAAATATTTGCAATTCTTCAAGTTTAGCAAGTTTCTTTTATGAAACTTACAAAAATTAATTGTTTGCAGTTTGCCATGCATTACTCATGGTCCACTGAAGCACGTGCACGACGTGCCTTGGCTAATGTATCTGCTTTACTTCGACCTGGAGGCATCTTCATTGGAACAATGCCAGATGCCAATGTCATAATCAAAAAGCTTAGAGAAGGTTGTAATTTTACTACTAATTGCTGTATTATCTTTATGCTCTCAACTAAAAGTTAAAAATGCTAAGAAGTTTTTTGTTCTGGTGGTTTATATATTCTATCCTTTCTTCACATGCTTTTTCATTTTAGATCTACAATTGATAATTGTATGTACTGGAATTCTTTAAATCTAGTCGTAAAGGGAGTCGTTTTTGTTGCCAAAGAGATATCAATTGACAGTTGAGTTTTACATGTATTGGAATGTGCAGCTAAAGGGCTAGGTTTTGGTAATAGCGTGTACTCAATAGAGTTTAGTGAAGAATATTCTGAAAAGGTAAGTCCATCATAATTTGCAAAGTGCAATTTTGTAGAAACTTCAGTGCTGTATGTAAGAGAATTGATAAGCTACACCTTATAATCTATTGTCATACAGAAATTCAGACCGTCTAACCCTTTTGGCATCAAATACAAGTTCCATTTGCAGGTTTGCCTTTAATTTTATTTTTTACTGGTATTATGGCCTGTGCCTCCATGCTTTTTCATCATTTTATTGTTCCTTAATTCAAAATTATGAGCCATTTTGCATCCTTACAATGAATTAAAATCAAACACAGAGAACATAACAGAAGTTTAATTCTGCAGGACGCAGTTGACTGTCCTGAATGGATTGTCCCTTTCCATGTCTTCAAGGAAATAGCAGAAGAGGTTAAATTCTACTCCATATGGTTTTGCTTCTTTCATTGTGTTTGTTGTCGTAATTAAATAAGAATTATTTATGATTCTTCATAGGTCCTTTGGTTTGTAGGGAAGAGTCCAATAATTCTATTGAACTAAACAAAACAAGAACGATAATATCTAGAGTAAAAAGTATGCTACCATATGAAAGTGAATGTTTTTTATAACTGGGATGTACTGTAATTCAATGCAGAAATGATACATAGTTCATATGGAAAAATTAACGGGTGTAGTGCTGCATTGGGATCCTGATGAGTGATAAGAGATGGGAACTAAAAGAACTGCTTGTGTTATTTCATATTGGTTATATTTGAAATATATTTTGGGTGTCGTTTCACTGTTATGACAGCTCTTTTTGATGTGCAGTATGATTTGGAGCTAGTGTTTGCGAAAAACTCGCATGCATTTGTTGTTGAATATATGAAGAAGCCAGAATTTATTGAGCTCATGCGCAGGCTTGGTGCGTTGGGCGATGGAAACCAAGACCAGAGTAAGTCTCAGAAATTCCAATTCTAATGATTGTTGCTGTCGTCGTTTTATATTCACTTTAATGCCCCACTTCTCTCTTTCCCTCTTACCATAACATGGTGTTTAACATTCAATATTCTTGTTTGGTTACATACTCGGCTATGTTACTGAAATCTTATTTGCTCATATTTTACTGCATTGGCTTTACATAGGTACGCTTTCACCAGATGAATGGGATGCTGCCTACTTATACCTGTCATATGTCTTGAGGAAGGCAAGTCTCGTGAACAAAATACTCAATTTTAAATGCTCGTACTCTTCCATTCATAGCCTTAGAATTCATTGGATTGGATATTGTTGGGTGGGGGCTGGTGAAAGGCCAAGTCCAGCAATTGGTGGCTAGAGGCCGGTGAAGGGCCAAGTCCAGCACCCTGCCTCTCGAAAATGTGGTGGCAGTGTATAAAGAAATAAAGTTGTGCCTATAGGTTTTGGCATAGTGGTAAGCAATTGATTCTAACATATATTTATATGTGTTTTTCTTTGTAGCGAGGGCAACCGGACCAGAGACCAGCGAATCCAAAACGAGACAAAGGTAAGATGCAATTGTCAAAGGAGGACATCACGTATATCAGCGGTGGAATATAGTGCATAATCCGATCAGCAACAAGCCGTGAGGCAGACAGTATGGCAAAAAACCTTTTTCCACACGAGGAAACAACAAAGAGCGCCACAGAATCACAGCCGCTGTCTTGTTTCCATTTCGTGTTCTCTTTATAAAGGCTTAGACAAACTCGCTTACAAATTTTGTAGAACATTAATAACGGCGCAGAATTCTCTGGTGCAGTGAAGATGGTGGCTGTTTCTTGTGAAAGGGTATGTTGCCATTGCTTATATTACATTCAAAGAGATTTGCGTAATTCTCCCCACCCCATGGCGTATACACAGGAAACATTATACTTAAACATGCTGTCTGAATCTGTACTTTTTCCCCAAGAATCTGATCCCTTCTTCTCCCTCCAAACCTCGTGTTCTTGAGTGAAACTGTATACTTGAACTGCCATCGTAATCGTTCTTGAATTAGCTCATTTTTTTCTCCAAAAGATCGAAACTATTTGACTTTGTTGTACCAAGTCCAATAAATTTTAAAATGTATCGTATAAAACTATGTAATGTATTCACACTTGGCTTGACTGGGTCGTTAATGTTGTTGTGTTTGAACTTGTTCATGGATAAACTTTTGTTTGAGCCATTCATTGATTGTATCGTGTTTCAAGTTAGAATAATTAATTATAGGAAAAATTTAAGGTGTCCATCAGTACACGAATTGTGTTAACACCTTTAGGTGATGAATCACAACTATTACTGAAAAAGTTAGATTTTACACCTTTAGGTGACAAGGAAAATTTGCAATTATTATTCGAGAATGTATACGGGATAAGTTTCACTAAAGAATTAATCAAGATTACATCTTATACTTACACAAAAGCAAAGAAAAACAAAAATGATGATTTGTTAAGAATTTCTCAACTAATTTACATGGTCAAAGGATAGATTTTGATTTTGTCCATAAAACATTTTTGTTTTTGAATGGTCACTTCAACTCATAGAACTTTTGTATGCAAGTATGACCTAGGAATGTTGACCTTTACCAACCTATGGGAAGTTAGGTTAACTCTCAAATACATTTTCATTTGGCATATCTCAATTATGTGTCATTCATTTGCCATATCTCAACTTATTCCACAACCCTTAAAATATATACTTTTAACCTAACAAATCGAGAGAATTGATAATTAAGTGGGCTGCAATTACACAGTCGAATAATATGGAATATATAATTATAAGGTGTCTTAATATGGAATATATAATTATAAGGTGTCACTTGCACTCTAATTCGTAACAATATCATATATCATATATTAAAAATAATAACAGATCATGTATACAGAAGAATTTTATTATTCAAAAAAAGTGAAATGGCATTTGCATAATGTTAAAATGAAATAGTTGAAATTAATAAGTAGCAAGATATCCATTAAAAATGCCTAAATTATATTGAAATGATGGAATTGTTCTAGAGTTAGGTTAGGCAATCAGACATTGTCATTTTCTTAGTTGTGATTTGTGTGGAGTATAAGTTTGGTCCGGGTCACTTTTGAGTGGAATCAAACTTTGATAATTGGACTAATAATTTCAAGTTCATTGAATGTCATGGTGTTTGAATGAATGACTGAGTAATTTTGAGTGTGATTTTTAGTTTGCTACATTTGCCATCTTATAATATGATATGATTAATGGAAATAGGAAATATTTTACCAAACAAATTATCCAACAAAAAAAAAAAATCTAAAATATGCATTACTTAAAAATATTGTGAATTACTACAATCAATGAGAGTAAAGAACTTTGTTGCATATGTATGGTTTATACATCCTTCGCCCTCCAACCTTCTGCTTCTAATGCATTATTGTAGGTCCTAATATTAGTTATTAATTAATTAATATAAAAATTTAATTTTAAGCAACTAAATCATTATATTTGATCTCCGGTCCGGTTGTGGGGTATTCACTCTTTGTACTGCAATAGATGAAGAAAGTATAAATATATATTATTTTGTAATAGAGTCAATAGTACTCAAAAAAAATTATTGTATTCGATTTAATAGGCCCGGTATATAATAATAGATAAGAGAAAATAATTTTTTTTTTAATGATGGAGCCCTATAATGATAAACTTTTAATGATGAAACCGAGTTTCAGACACTAATAATACTTTCATATGCAAACATCATTAAAGAACTAATCAAATATTAAGGTTGGGCATCTAGAAAGAATATAAATAAAAAAAAATAAAGATTTATATATATGCATGGTACTCACGATGCTGCAATTTGTCAAATTTCTTAAACCCAAAAATAGGTAGGTAAACAACCAATAATGTTCTATCAAGAATTATTTTAAAATAAGGTTTAAAACACGTGTCTGTCAATTTCTATAGTGTTATGTGGACTAATTTTTGCAATAATTTTAGGGTTATACCCATTGATTCGTGTTTTGCGAAAAAAAAAAAAAAAATCGATTCTCTTCAAATAATTTTAATAAAACGCATGAGAACGTTAATAAGATGATTTGTCTTTTCTAGTTTAACAAAAAGTCTCAGATTCGAATCCTGATAATGTAGCGACCTTTCACCCTTTAAGAGGTCCTACATAATATAAATATAACTAATCTTAACGTGTGAAAACACAGATGTTCTTAATACTTCGTAATTAATAATTTTAAGATTTTGTCTAAATGATAAGAATCTCAAGATCATTTTTTGTGTGTGTCATAAATAGATACAAATTCTAAAATATTAAATTATTAATCAAAACTCAAACTTAAAAACATTAGTGTCTCTTACAGACTACTAGTAAAAAAAATTCTTTGGAGTTTATATCAGGTGTAATGAAAGCATTGCGATACAATCTAAATTTTATAATACTTTCAATTTTGACTGATACAATCAAAACTGAATCAATTCCTTAAATTACGTATAGGGATACATATATGAAAAAAAAAAAAAGAAAAAAAAAAAGAGAATCATCTAAGGGTGGTTAGATAATGATATGAACTTGGTTTGTATGTATGTATGTATGTATATGTGGGACCCATGTTTGTAGTTTCAATTTTGTTTGGTCACGTGATGTATGTGTGGCGTGCTTAGTGACCTCAAAGAGGAAGATGAAGGCATATATATATGAATCTCTCTAGAAAAGAATATGACAATATTCTATTTTATTTAGATATGAAAAACAAGAAATTAAAAGGGAAACGATAACCAAATTTTGTTCCAAACCTATTAGCTAACACTTCAATCTCAACCAACTATTAACAACATACCCAACTCTTACCAATATTACCCTCTTTTTTTAAAAATTATTACGATGTTCTTTTTATCTATAAAGTGATCACAAAATTTCAATTAAAACAAAATACACTGATTTGATGTTAAATTCTATGCTTGAAAAATCATAAAATTTTAATTAACCATTAAAAATTGATGAAAACCTAAGAGTACAAACGACCTGAACTAAGCTCAAACTTAGGTAGCCTCGAGTTTGAACTCAACATAGTTATAGTGGCTTGAATCAGTGTTCAAACTCAACCAAGTATAAAAAAATTAGGCTTGCCAAAAATCTCGAGTTCGTTTTGAACTTTTGATTGGTCCAAATTGAGTTTGAGTTCAAACTGTATATATATATAAATGCGGCGATGTCCTTAGGTGGTGCGACGGAATTTCAGAATACACCAACAGTGTAAGGGAAACACACCACAATGAAATGCAAAAACAACACCAAAAAATACACTACAAATCCAAAAAAATACACCATATAACTCACCACACCCCCCAATGGTGTATTTCCGAACACTGTATTGTGTTTTTACTCACACCTAATGGTGTGTTTTTGGTGATACGTACCTACTTTGTGTGTGTTTTTGTGGTGCATTTTTCTAACGTTGATGGTGTATATTTGTTGAACTATTGGTGACACCGCACCGTCGTACCTAAGGACATTACCGCACTCACTTGAATAACCTTAAAATATATATATATATATATATATATATATATATATATATATATATGTATATGTATGTATATATTGGTTTGGTTGATGCAAGATCTAGTGTGGATTAATGTGCATGCACCAGTGTTCATATGTACCTAATGTCTTGTCTATAGGGTACGAATTTAATAAAATGGTCCTAACTTCCATTAAATTACCTACTAAACGTACATTACCAATAATAATAAACAATTAGTGTAGAATAATTGCATTTAATAATAATACAACATACCAAAAAAGAAAGGCACATGACAAAAGCCGTGTGGAAAGAATAATAGAGAAGGATGGTCGTCTAAGGGCAGCTACCCAACGTTATTGTGTAGCTAAAAGCTAAGGTTTCGTACGTTAATTAAAACTTGAAAATTAAACATAACTTTTTATTGTTATCGTTGTAGATATTTTATCTACAATTATAAAGGATCAAATCATACTATTAACCAGGACTATGTGGTCTAATGGTATTCGGGTTGGACTTCCATTTGGAAGGTTGTAAGTTCGAGCTTCAATGGAGGCATTATTAGCTCTTTGTGTTTCAGTAGGTTGAGAAAGTATATGAACATATACTACAATATAATAGAGCTAGTAACATTCAAATAAAAAATAAAAAATCGTACTATTAAAAATATATTATATTAAAAGGTAAAATGAATTATTAAACTAGTGATTTTTATTATTTTTGTTACGGTAACTCCTGTGTAATGGACTTCAAACCATATAGGATAAGTAAATAATACTAGGAAGATTTTGAGCAATAATAGACCAAAAAATTATTGTTGTTAATAATATTTTTCCTGAGTTAATACCCAATATAGTCATCGACTATAGTGGTTTTATTCAATTTAGTCTTAAATGACTTTTTGTGCTCAATTTAGTTATCAACTTTGATGATTTTACACAATTTAGTCATTTGTTAAAAACTATGTTAGTAGACTGTTAGAAAGAGGATCCTAATGGTAATTTCTCGTCCTTCATCCCATTTGGGATGATTCATTCTTCTTCCCCTTAGGGTTGAGGTTCAACCTTTTGGAAGAATGATTCATTCTTCTTCCCTTTATTAAGATTCACGCAAAAATGTAAATTTTCATACCCAAATATTTATTTACTCTGTATTTATTTATTTAGGGTTGAAGTTGATTTGGGTACGCAGATTTGCATTTATGTGTGGATCTTAATAAGGGGAAGAAGAAGGAATCATATCAAATGGGATAAATGATGAGAAATTACCATTATGACTATATTTCTAATAGTCAACTAACAAAACTTTTAACAAAGGATTAAATTGTTTAAAACCATCAAAATCAAGAACTAAATTGAACACAAAATGTCATTTAAAACTAAATTGAACAAAACCGCTATAGTTGAGAATTATATTGAGTATTAACTCTATTTTCACATAACCCACTATTTGTTAACAAGGATTGGCACATTGTATAATTTGGATGCTAATTCAGAAGGGTACCACTAGCATGATTGGGGATGATGTTTTATGCATCTATCATTGCAACCATTTTATCAGTATTATCCTACCATCTTGCCAGGAATGATACAATAGTACAGTCCAAGAAAATCCCATTTCACTATCAACACCATATATATATAAATATATAAATATAAATAATAGTGTGAATTTGAATTAGGCTTTTGTACATTCCCTCATCTAGCTACTTGTTGCAGTCCTCGTGTAAAAATCTGACCCACGAATTTTCCTTTCCAACACTTTAATTTGGTGTCCCACATCAACATATCCAAATTGGGTGCACGTCCACATCTATTTCAGAATGGAAAATGTTACATGTACTCCCATATTGTACTCCCAACTTCTATTCTTACACACTAAATTTTGATGTAGACACTTATATTAGGATTCACACGAAAAAAATAACTTATCAGAATTCGTTATATCAAGGAGTACATGTAGTAGAACTCGCTTCAAGTGAAAACAATTCAAGCTCTCAACTCCTTTTTATATAATTCAGTGCCAACTAAGTAAAGCTATTAACTTTTTTAGATTGATCAATCAGGTTAATTGTTCTCCAAAGGCGACTTTAGCCTATTGTATGCATATAAGGGCTTTTAAACATGTTGCACGTACTAAAAGTAGAACAAATTAAACCAATTTGGTTGACATAAATGACTGTACACTCTTATCCGTTAAGAGAGGTCGGGAGTTCAAAATTCACTCTTGATATGCTATGATACATACTTAAAAGTGCTTTCTATGGTTAGAGTGACACCTCGTCCTCGTGACGGTCTAAAAGAAAGAAATTTATACCATATATGATTCATGTATAAACTATGACTACTAAAATTGACGAGTGCATAGTTTTGTCCCTCGTATACTCCGCAGTGTCTTATCCAAAAGAGATTTTAATTTTATTATTAATGAAAAATGTTGTGCAAATAAAATAAAATAGACAAAGGTGACAACAACGCCCGCAGAATCTCATTCTTCTACGCTACCAAAGAGCAAACAGGTTAACGTCACAAAGATAGCAACATAAACAAACATCCATCCATCCATCATGGGATTATTATTATCTAGTATCTACATACTAATCCGTATGTAATTATCAATTATGCATCACCTTGTACTTTGTGCTAAACCATATCACATCACCCACCAAATTACTTTTTTAGTTCATTAATTCTTTTTGGTGTTAAAGTATTACGAAGCCTTATTTAGAAAGAGGGCTTTTGATATGATGTTTAATTTGAACCAACTTCTAATTCAATTGTTTACTTGGATAGTTGGATAGGAGGTGATAGGTTTTTGGTATATATCACTAACAAATTTTTTCTGGTCTATCCAGGATTTCCATCGTCGGATACAATGACTAATTATTGTAGTATCTTTTTTTGTGGGACAGTTGGTATGGGCATATCTTTTGAGTGCTACAGTTAGTCTGGAGATAACTATTCTAATGATCGAACTCTTGACCTTTAGTTAAGGATAAATGAGTCATTTCCACTCAATCACACCCCTTGGATTGGTATCACTAAGAAATAATATATGCTTAAAATGAAACAACCTGGCAAAAGGCATGTAGATAATACTATCGAAGCTGGCCAGTGGGTGTGGATCCCGCTAAAACTTACCATTTGGTAAGGTAGGCGTAGCCTACCAAGGCCTACATTATTATGACACAGTGACAAAAGGCGAGCCTATAAATAACTATATCTTCATAAAATTACAAGTCAAATTCTTAACTCTATCTCATACATCTCGTAATTTATCTCATTTATATAACCTTAAAGGTTAATTAGAGATTATGGTAACGATTGCGAAAGGGCATTTACCCAAAAGACTTCCACTAACACTAGATTAGGATAAGCATAATTGCCTGATTACGTACACAGAAAAATCCTTTGATGGGACTTTACCTTATAAAATATTACACACAAGTACATACGTAAATCTAATTGTCACGCATAAGACCATGAAAAAAACAATTCAACCTTAATTAATTGCTCACATAGGGATAAGACCACAAGTTCAAAACAACCATTAAAAAAATCCAAAGGCAAAAATTTGTAAATTGCAGAAAAAGGGAACACATATCATACCAACTTGACAGGTTGAATGGCTTTGCTTCCACAAGTTTCTTTGAGGTTTGGGTTTCCTAAAGGCCAAAAACATCAAATCCTCAGTACCAAACTGTGTGTCTAAGAAACCTAAATAACATCATGAGATGCCACTTTTTAGATCAGGACAACAATAGTGCCTAACCTAGTTGCATTGTTTCAATATAAATTGTACTTGGAAATCATATTATATCTTTCAATATTAATTTTACTAAAAACTCATATTATAAACTAATAATCAAATTCAGACTATTAGGTCTAACTTCGGCTCAAATCAACCTAATTAATCTTATAATTACATTAAGTGTCTAGTTACTGATAACCTAAGTTATCGAGTTAGATCGATCTTTATTTTATTACAAGTATATAAAAAAGAATAGCCTTTCAAAAAATATATATATATAAAGAAGAATAGTACATCTAGTTAACCTAACTAATAGAACATAAATACATTTTAAGTGTTATATTTTGCATGATTTATATATATTACGAGACTAATAACAAATCTGACTTCGTCACAAATTAATTAATATAATGCTAAATAAAATATGATTCGAATAACAATAATCGAAATAGTCATATTTCAGTATTAACTATTAAGTAATTTATAAAACTAAAAATTAAAACAAGCTAAGAATCAATGCATAAATTTACCCAATAATTGTATGAAATAGGTGTAAGCTAAGCAATTAGGAATTTTTATGGTTTATCAACCTCTAAGATATCAGTTTTTTTTTTTTTCTTCCTATAATTCTTTTCCCAAAGAATTGAAAATATTTCATAATAAAATGGAAAAAATTATATCTTTTTTGTATGAAGGGAAAAAGAAGAGGCCTTTAGAGAAGTTTAAAGTTCAACTAGAAGAGGGGGGATAATGGGCAGAGCTAGTCCAGAATGGTGGCCGGAAATTGGAACTTGTAGGCGGACTTTGAGTGGACGGTGGCCGGAAAAAGCTGGATTGGGTTGATGGTTGGGCGGCGGAGAAGAGCAGGGGAAATGAAGAAGAGGAGGAGGGTGAAGCAGAGGCGGCGGATGACGAAGGCATTGAATGGGAATGCAAAACCGCCATTGATGACGCATAGTACATTTGCTCTAGCAAGCTTCTTGGCTGCTGGCTGAGAAGCTCGCCGGGGTTCTGGAGCAGCTGCGAGTATTCCCAGTAGTCGCCGGAGACACCAGAGCCGCCGCCTTGAACCGCCGCGTGCGGCTGAGATTGGAGCATTAGCGGCGGCCGTGGAGGAGCGATTACCGGCAATTGCGCGGCGCCGGAAACCGCCGCATGCATCCTCGTCGCCGCCGCCTGTTGCGGCCGTGGCTGCGGCGGCGGCGGCATTAGCCGCACGTTCTCCGGGAAGTTGAGCTTTGCCCTGTTTCCCCTGAACCTCAGGGCGGCTTCATCGTAGGCTCTGGCCGCCGCCTCCGCCGTCTCAAACGTCCCCAGCCAAACTCTCGCCGCTTTGTGTGGGTCCCTTATCTCCGCCGCCCATTTCCCCCACGGCCTCTGCCTCACTCCTCTGTATCTTCTCCTCCTCTCTCCCGTTTCTTGATCAACCGAAGCTGTCCCCACTTCCGACGTAGCGGCGCCGACGGTCGCCGGCGGCGGCCCCACAATGCCAGCACCTTCCTCTGCAAAAACATTAAACCTCAAAACCTAAGATATGTACAAATTGAAGAGACATAAAAAGTCAAGAAATGTCACAAAACCATGTTCTCATCTTCCTTATAACACATGCAATAACAAACTTTTATCCTTAAAATTAACCAAAACATATAGTAACCAACAAAATTCTAAGATGTCAATCAGCAATGCTGATTAAAGTAAAGAAAATTCTAAGATGTCAATCTGCATGGTCGATTGAACTATAAAATTTTTTATAGATCGTATTGACTGAGACAGAAAATTTTAAAATGTCTATAAAACAATTGTTCATTGGGATGAAATTGGAGATAAAGATTTGTAAGAATAGAAGATAAATTTTTTGGGATTTTGTGTGAATTGAAGATTGAAAGATTGAGAAAGTGATGAAGAATTGGAGAAAGAAGAGAAATTTATACATACCAGATTTAACAGAGGAAGAGGTAGTTTCTGCCGGAGTTCTAAAGTCTCCAAACCCTCCATAAACCCTTTGAACATGTTCAGGAAGCTGAGTAACACTTTCTTCCTGTTCACGTCTCCGTTTCTGACCGGCGCCGGAGCTGGAGCTCGTCGACGAGTAAGTGGACGACGGCGAATTGACGGAATACACGCCGCCCAAGGAAGGAGCAGCGGCGGCGCCGCCAAACCTCCACTGTTCTCCGGGTGACCTCTGGGAGGACATAACTTGCGTGAGGGCCGTCACCACCGCCGACATCTCCCCGGACTGTCCATACCCGGAGAACATCGGCGGCGGCGCAGCCGCCGCCGATAACAGGTAATCCGCCTCCTGTTGTATCTCCCGCCGAATCATTTCGTCGAAGGACTCGGAAGGGCCTTCCTCCACGGCCGAAGCCGAAGCGGAAGCCGAAGCCTCTTCTTCCCCGCTGCCCGTGGCCGGAAACCTGGCATATCCGCCGGAATCTTTTCGGTTCGCCACCTTTATAGACAAACACATGTACCCAGCCAAGAACACGAAAAATCACGGCTTACCCAGATCTTTTCTCGGAAAATTACGGCTGCCCTTTCAAGATTTCCGCCGGGAAATCTATATTCAAAGACTCTGTCACCTTTCAAACCAGTAATATAAGTTCTTGTTGAATTCCTCTGAGCTTTATGAACATGCAAGTTGTTGAAGCAAAGCTAGCTAAGCTCTGGTTTTTTGTTTTTATTTCTTTTTTTACAGAAAATCCGAGTGAAAAGGATATATAAAAGGTGGGGAAAGTTGAGAGTTGAAGCGGAAGCTGCCGTCAATGGAACAGTTGTTAAAATTGGAACGACGTATACTACTCCCTTAGCTTAAATTTTAAAAAAACTAGTTCTTTCTCGCAACAGATATATGATTACTTCTTGGACGAGAATACTTGAGATAACTCTATTCATATAAATTTTATCTACTATATATATTTTAAGAAAAAAAAGTGTCATATTGGCGTCATAAATTTTATAAATATTGCAATTGTATCTTTAACTATAAAGTTATACGGAGTAATAATCTATTTGTATGTACTATTTTACCAGCTTAAAGTACTTTATTGAAATTTTATCTGTTATAAAACTCACTTACATATGTTTGTGATGAATTTAATTACTCAGGATCGACCCAAATTATCAAACCGATTAAGAACGTAAATAATGAAAGGATAGAATAAGTAAAACGATGTCATTGCACGGCCGCGAGGACAGTATATTGTATTAAATATCGCTAATAAGCTATTACAAGGCTGGATTAGGATAATAGTATGTGTAAAATAGTGAACGTGTCTTAATCAGACAAAGGAGGACCCTTTTATACAAGCTATGGACCTCCTAACTGCCCGCCTAAATCAGGGGCTCCCCCGTTTTGACCGAGCCTGGTCCGGAGACCGGGCAACACGGCCGAGGTCGGCTGCCTAGGCCTCATGCTGAGGCGACCCGGGGCTTGTGCGCGGGGCTCAACCCCGAGGCCTCAGGTCTGGTTGAATCTCCCAGATTCCGTCTTCTCGGGTCGGCCCGGCTCCATTCATAATATATCCATCAGTTTGAATCCAAAACTTAAGGCCACCCGCCGTTCATTCCTTGAACACTAGTGAATGAGATAAATAGCGGGGTGTATCTTAAGTGGCGGCTTACACCTCTCAAATACTTGTACACTAATGACATGTTTGGTTGAGAAGAATTGGAGTTCACTTCCCACTTAATTCTATGTATAAAATTCTAGAGTTTAGTTGAGAGAAATTGCAATTCCTCAAATAAATTTAAGGAATATGCTGAACCCCAACCCGAAGGGCCCCCCACACCCCGGCCCGACAGAGCATTTGGCCCCCACACCCCGGCCCGACAGAGCATTTGGGAGGATGTAAATTATGGTGACTCAACTGAACATGAACCATAAAGGCTAGACCGGTGCTCACTGCGCACAAGGAGCCGTGTAAATTATGGTGACTCAGCTGAAAATGAACCATAGAGGCTAGACCGGTGCTCACTGCGCACAAGGAGCCCCACTCACTTTGAGAGGTTGCTCCCACATTGCCGCTGGTGAGACTCGATCCCTGGTCATTCTTCCAAAGTTTCACCTCTATGACCAGTTGAGCTACCCATGCGGGCAGAATTGTAATTCCATAATACATGAGAAGAAATTTTGGGATGTACTAAGGACCAAATTACCTTCCCTAATAATCTTACACCTTTCCCTAAAAATTACAAGTACACAAACATTTTGATCTTTGTACTACTTATTTCTTTTCAATTATCATATATACCAAACACTATAATAAAATTTTTCAATAATTTTATTACTGTCTATTAAAAATAGAATTTAAATTAAAATTTTATTCTCACCTTATTTAACAAAATTATAATCCTTTTCTAATACCTACAACAAGTCCATAACACAATTATATTATTTGCTAAACTTAAAAGAAGGCAAATTTGACACTTTATTCCATGTTTTAATTAATTAGTATCAAATTAAATAAAAGGGAAAAAGACACTTTTTCCCCCTGAGTTATATACTTATAGCACTATTTCCCCCTCAATTATTTAGGTAAGCACATTAGCCCCCTCAATTATTCTAAAAGTGGTGCTTTTTCCCCCTGAAATATTAAATTGACATTTCTATCCTTAAAGTAAACATTTTATTTATTTTACTTCTCCAACAAATTATTGCGTATACGTAGGGATGACCACGGTTCGGTTTGAACTGAACCGGACACTAAAGCAATCGAATTAAAAGTTTCCGGTTATGATTCAGATCTAGAACCCAATATTTAGATGTCAATTTATTAAAATTATGTATAAAAAATTTGAATCTTGAACCGTAAACCGACGGTTTCGGATCCGGTTCGCGATTTTTAACTGTCTTTATTTTAAAATTTTAGTTTTTATTTTAAAATAGTCTAAATTCAACAATAAATGTATTTTATTTTTTTCAGTTCGGAACATGAACCGTCCGTTCCGGTTCACGATTTTAATAAACTCTAAATATCGATTTTCAATTCTAAATTGTAATTTGAATATTTCGGTTTGGTTGCTATAGTGTTTGTTTGGTTTGAACCAACTTATGGTCATAATTTGTTGGAGAAAAAAAATGAAATATTTATTTTAAGGATAAATATGTCCATTTAACATTTCAGGGGGAAAAATAGCCACTTCAATAATTCAGGGGAGAAAAATGCTATAAGTATATAACTCAGGGGGAAAAGTGCCATTTTCCCTAAATAAAAATATTTAATTTATGTAACATACAAATTAGGTAACTAGCTTAGCCAGTATGGCCTATGCAGAGCACAACACGTATATTTACTTTTTGTTCTTTTTGGGTGTTTTTTTTTTACTACTTAGGGTGGTATGTTCACACTACAGATGTACAAGTTGTAGGGAAGTTACATGCACTTTCCTTAACCTCCACGACCTTTTGTTTAAGAATGTCGGTTTATTTTTTGTGAATGGGAGTGAGACACAGATCAGATTGTTCAGAGCTCATCTTTGAATTTTGTTCTTTTTTCTTCTTTTTTATTTTAATTTTTTAATTTTTATTCCGTTTTCATATATCCACCTAAACCCAACTTGCGGTTCATTGAATTTGATCCACAAATAATGCCAACTTCATATCTAAGCATATCCAAAATAGGAATCCATTTACCCACTGTAATTTTGGTAAAACAGGCAAAAATATAAAAATAAAAATTAAAAGTTTGGTAACGTCTTGTATTATTAAAAAATTAGCAACCCAGTACGTCCTCTCATGTGTGGTGGGTTCCAAACAACACATAGACCGTAGTCGCAAAATTCGAACACATGACCTTTGATCTAGCTCTGGTATCAAATTGAAACATGTACTCCATCTCAATTAAAAATCTAAACTGATAATTAGATTGCACATTAATGATTATATGCTCAACAATAACATGTGTCTAAATCTCTATGGGGTTCTCTTCAACTAACATATCCTTCTCGACGATTTTATGGGTGTTCTTTCCATGACTAGAGTGGGCTTGACTGTACGTTTTGTACACTAATCTCATAGATTTGAGGAGCAAGTAGTGATGGCTGAGATTTGTGTTAAAATTCAAACAAATGATTCTTCAAATCCTTGACTCTTCCGAGGCAGTGGAAGAATGTCATGTCTGATGATAATATGTTCAACGTAACGCTCATCGTTATTAATCGAATCTCGCATGATTTAATGGCGGCGCTATCTATAGCTGCTGTGTGCTATATATCCAGTAAGCACTGTTTAATTTATGGATGCAATCCTAAAAAGGTTACCAAATCTTTGGAGCATCAAATATGGCCACAACTCAGAAGATCAGGCCAGGCCACAGGGAAATTTTGATATTTATGAATCTAGGCTGCAAAAGTAACCCTCATATTTCTGATCGGATTGATAAGGAGTTATAATATATGTGTAACACGAACTGTGCAAGTAAAGTGCACAATTACATAATTGATCAAATCTAAGCCATTAATCTCAAATATTGAATGACTAAGATCTGTTCACACGGACTCTGAAAACACTGGTTGTGTGTATCTATAATCAATAATGTTCTTGATTAAAAAAAAAAAAACTGAACACAATTTACAGAGGAAATTAAATATTTCATTAAAAAATTCAAAATGAGAATCAAACCCTACTAAATTGTCATTGTTGTGATGGGTCAAACCGTACGTACGGCCAAATTACGGGTCTTTCAAACATATGATCTCCAAAAAATTAAAATTAAAAAAAAAAATTACTAAATGCCAATAAAATACATCCAGTTGCAAGCTGTACGTATGGCTCTGCTTCCTGGCATGTCTACTGAAGAACAATTGTTTTTAGTTATTAATTTTTTATTTTTTATTTTTTGCTAATTTTTCTCTTTTTGACAAATGCAAATAGAAACAAAATTATCAGCCCCATTTGTTTACCAATTGTTTTATATTTATATATGTTTGTTAGTTCTCGAAAATAAGAAAATATATTTATTATTTATATTATATTGTTTATCCTTGAACCATGTGCCGTATTCTTATGTGCTTAATAGAGAAGAAAGGTATATATACATTGACTTTTATACTAATATTTTTTACTTATTATATTCGTATATCGAAATGATCGTCAAGTCACGCTAACACAATCAATTATCGTCAACAACGATTGTATTATATCCAGAGGGTCTTTATACACTTATAAGCCAAACGAAAGACTATCATTCTCTATGTTATCCGATCAACACAGTAGTTTGTTATATGTCTTATCATATTTTCGGTGTTATCTGATCAACATAGTAATAAGGTGGACTCAGGTCTAAATATTTATCATTTATATATTAAATGTTCACAATTTACTTCTTAAAAATTCACAATTTGTATACTACGAACACACAATGTTAACATATATATAATTGAATACTTTGTTTTGTATTCACAATTTCTTTCAAATACTGCAGTCACACAATATTAAATATTAAGATTTGGTGACCCTGTATAATATTCACAAATTCCTTGCTATAATTGTTATGTACACAATTTATATTCTAGAAATTCATAATTCTAATATTAAAAATACATTATTTATACTTCGTTAAAGATAAGAGTCCACCTGTTAAAGTGGAACCTGGTCCATAGTATAACAAACTCTATTTCCAATTCAGTCGAAGTCCATAATAGATGACACATAACTTAGTCGTCAAACTCAACAATATATCAATCTTTATTGGCGATTTCGTTATGCTTTTATTATTATTATTATTATTATTATTATTATTATTATTA